ATGAAGCCGTCACATTGAATGGAAACAAAGAGGCTATGTGAGAGGTGTTAAGAGAGTGTATTGTCCGGGACATGGTTGCTGATTAAATGTGGGAGATGCAAAAGGTAACTCTCGAGTTTATGGGCGGGGCTATTCATTCACCATATCTGGAACTGTGGGAGGAAGAAAAATTTTGGAGAAGAGTACAATGTGGTTTCTTTGGGATATGTTGATTCTGAAGTACCTTGTGGAGAATTTAGGTAGATAACTCACTTAAGGAGGGTACAAAGATAAAGGAACCAGAACCCATACCTGTAAGAAACAACTAGAAAACAAGAAAATAGAGACAAGACTACCAATGAAGAAAGGAGTTTCAGATAACATTCAACAATGCCCATTCCCACAGAGAAAACAACTAAGATGAAGACTGGGGAAAAAAAAAAAAAAAAAAAAAAAACACAACTATTCTGGGCAACTGGATCAACACTGCTATTGTAGCTTCTAAATATAAGTAGCTACTGAAGAAAACAATGCAAATGGCTGGAGGTAAACAGGCTAATCTATGAAAAAGTGCACAGTGGGACTGACCTTTTGAAGTGAATGGTGCTGTGCTAGATACTCAATTGGGAAATAACTTAAGCCCCACAGGTCTTGCCCCTGGGAAAGATTCCTAACTAGATAACATAAACTGACACAAAATATTTACTGTCTCAGAGAGAGAGTTTAGAGATCAGTAATTCTCACAAAACAAGAAACCATCTCAACCACACCTCCACTCTCCACCTTGCCCCACAATTACCATGTCAAAAAAAAAAAAAAAGTACAGAATATAAAATATCCAGGTCTCAAACTATAGGGTTAACTGGAAAACAACGGATCAAGTTCAAGTGTGAAGAAAGTCAAGTGGTACCAGTTTTTATATAATGTAGAGCCCAGACCTCCAAGGATGAGCAAGATGAAAAGAAACATCCTGGTAATTACACACATACAGTGACAACCAATGAATGAGGGAGTAAATATAGAAATACACTGGGACAAAACATGCAAACTACAAAGATCATGATCTGAAGACAACTCACACAAAAGAAATTCCTATAAATTGCTTCTTAACCTGTTAACCGGGGAGTTCCCTTTTTAATTATGCAACCTGTAATGGGCGTGTACTCTTTCACTAGGACGTGTCAGTACGTCATGCCCGGAGTAATTTCATATTATTATTTTTTTATTTATACTTAATTAAAATAAATGATATATATTTTTTGTTTATTTATATATAAAGCACAAAGGAAAATACAAAATTACAAAAAAATAGAAAAGAATACCAACAAAAAAATGGAAACATCGAATTAAAAAATTATAAATTTTACAAACAATTATAAAGATTACAAAAAATATATACCGTCCCTCTCAGGGTGCAACATATATTTCCAGGACATATTCATACGTCCTACCCGTTCCCAATATTGTTTACGTTTGACGTATTTATAAGTCCCGCTCGGTTAACAGGTTAAGAAACTTGAAGGAAATTTAAATGCAATAAGCAAAAGCTCAGAAACAAGATGATTTAACAAAAAACAAAAAAAAAGAATTCGGACAATCACCAAGCTATAAAAAAATGAGCAAACAAAAATTGAACAAACAACATCACTACGTAATAAATTAACAAATTAGGAACAGCCCCAAACAGAGCAGGCCAGGCTGACAAATAATCAGGCTGGCTTTGAGCCCATTTACGCAGGTGACGCCAAATGTGAATCTGGAGCAGCTCAGAGGAATGCAGAGCTGGAAGCAGCAAGCATTTGAATCAACAGATGTTCTTCTCATTAAACGTTGCTTTGAAATAGATTTAGGTATTTAAAGCTGTAACAGTAATGCATTCCGTGAATTTGGATACAGAAGTAAAATGTAGGACAACAAAGGACAAGGTCCGAGAAATGAAAGCAAATTTTCAGATCCCTAAAATGGAAAGGGGCGTACTTTTGGTGGACAAACTCGTAGGTGGTCTCCATTATGTTCTGAACCTGATGCTCGCATCCTTGCGTGATCCCACCCCCTTGAGTGTGGACAGGTCCTGTGACATGTCTCTGACCAATAGCAAATGGTAACCGATGAACGTGATTTTGTATGATCATGTGCTTGCACCCTGAGAGATTTCAGTGGCCATCTTGCTGGAGGCTCCTTCTCCCCTGGAGGACCCCGTGTTGTAAGAAAGTGCTGATGCCGAATAGGACCAGAGGGCAGCCTCTGGCCAACAGGTGGCAAAATGAATAAACAAAAACCCTGAAGCTTTTAGTTCTAGTCGAAAGGAACTAAATGCTGCAAAGAACAGAAAGTCAGGGAGTGCACTTTTCCCCATTTCAGCCTCCAGATGAGACCCCTGCCCTGGCAATACCTGGATACAGCTGTGAGACCCTCAGCAAAGGACCCAGGCAGTGTGCCTGACCTCCGACCCGCAGAAGTGGTGAGCTAAGTAATGTGTGTTGCTTTAGGCTGCCACCTTTGTGGTTGCAGCAATGAAAAAAAAATATATGTTATGAATATAACATTTGTGTTTAAATCTATCATTTATCTGTGTTGTATTTTCTGTTTGTCCCATCTGTACTTTATTGCCCTTTTCCTCTGTTTTGTCTTCATTTGGATTATTTTATGTCCCAATTTATCTTTTTTGACTGTTATAAATTTTTATGTGCCTGTTTTTTTATTTTAGGGTTTGCTTTAGAGTTCATCGTGTTTATTAAGTCTAAATTCAAGTTATATCACACTGCTTTTACACAAGTGTAGTGTAAAACCGTATAATAATGTACTTCCATTTTCCCCTTCCCACCTTTGTGTTATTATTGCCATTTATTTTGCTTTTACATGTTATAAACTTCACACTAATTGCTTTTTGCTTAAACAGTAAAATATCCTTTAAAGAAATCAAAGAAAAAAAGCCCATATAGCCGAAACCGGTTTGGCTCAATGGATAGAGCGTCGGCTTGGGGACTGAAGGGACCCGGGTTCGATTCCAGTCAAGGGCATGTACCTTGGTTGCAGGCATATCCCCAGTAGGGTCTGTGCAAGAGGCAGCTGATCGATGACTCTCTCTCATCGATGTTTCTAACTCTATCTCTCTCCCTTCCTCTCTGTACAAAATCAATAAAATATATTAAAAAAAAAAACCTCATATACAACCAAAGGACTTGTATGCATGCATATGAGCATAACCAATGGACACAGACACTGGGGTGGTGGGGGCTTGCCCGGGGTGGGAATGGCTGGGAGGAGAGGGGGAGTCAACCGGGGAAAAAGGAGACATATGTAAGACTTTAGACAATAATAAAAAGCCCATATATTTACCCAGGCATTCAGTGCTTTTTTGTACGCTTGATCGTTTTTTACTGGATGCCACTGAATTGTATGTTGTGACTACTGGGTATATTTTTATTCCTATAAATATTTTTGAGCTTTGTTATGGGATACATTTAAGTTATTTAGAACCAGTTTCTGTTTCTTCTTATTATTTTTTTAACCCTTACCAAGGACATACTTAGAGGAGGGAGAGAGGGAAAGAAGAATGGAGAAAGAGAGCAGGGAGGGAGGGAAGAAGGGAGGGAGAATATCAATTGGTTGCCTTCCATTAAGAGCCTTGACCAGGAATCGAACTGGCAACCTTTCAGTGCGACACTCAACCAACTGAACCACTCCAGCCAGGCTAAAACAGTTTGATCCCTTTGCATCTTGCTTTGCATCTTGCTTTGTCAATATTAGATCAGCGTTAAGTCTTTAGATGATTCTTCACTACAAACTACCATTCTGTGTGCTCTCCCCCATTCCTGGTCAGTCCTGACCTTTCCATTCCTGCTCAAGAGAAATGTCAGCTCTGTTCAGCCCAGGCAGTGAACTCTGCCTCTCAGGTAGTCTCTGCACAGGGTGCACTGGTAACATCTGAAGACTTCTAGAGTTCTCTCTCTGGGCAGTAATCCTCTCTCCAGTAACCTGACCCATTGTCTTGATCTCCCCAGACTCCCACAGCTCCATTCCTCCACTCAGTTAGTTGAATAGGCTCTGCCCAGACCCCACTCACCTGGCCCCACGAGAAGGGAATGCTCTGAACACAGTAAGACGGGGCAGTCTCAGGGCTCATCTCGTCGTTTCCCATCTCTTAGGGACACTATACTTTCTAGCCCGATATCCCAGGTCTCAAAAACCACTGTTTCGTAGATGTTACCTATTTTTAGGTTGTTTTAGTCAGCAAGATAATATGACTACTTTGCCTTAGGTGGAAGCGTAAGTATTGAGTTATTTCTTATGAAAAAGAAGAGTTGAACCAAGGGTAGTAACCAACACAACACAAAAGCAATCATTTGGCTGCAATTTTTAACTTTCATACAAATCCCAAAAAACTGTAAATTGTGTTACTTAGAACAATTACTTTTAAACTCACCAAAATTCAAAGACACTATTTAAAAATTCTAGAAATAAAAACAAACAAATTATGAATATGCTATAATTCAATTCTTTATTATAGTTGGAATATTCTTTTTCTTTTTCTAATAAAAAGAATAGCAGTGATACATATGCTACTGGTAGAAAATTAAGAGATCTCCAATAAAACGCTATGAAAAGAAATTTCAATTTTTACTGAATATGCCAATTCTTAATTTAAAAAGTACAAAAGAAGTCAATCAATAGACTTAACCTTGACGTTGACCCAATTCCTTCTGAACCAATGGTTTGTTATGCTTCCTGCCTAATCCTTCAGAAAAGTCTTTCTGTATGTACATGGAATAGTTCAACCCCAAACGTAGGCACAGAACAGAAACGTGAACAGGTCACCCGACACAGCTGGCCTCACGCTGGGTTCCTGCCATGAAGTCCACAGGAGCAGGTGGGGAGGACGCAACACAATCCAGCGATGTGCTCTGGTCAAAGACCCAGAGCACGACTCCCCGAGGACCTGAGGGTCAGCTGTTTATTAGGTGCAACGGAAATAGAACGGGAAGGAATCTGAAGAGGAAATAAATCCTGGAAGGTCTGATTCAACATTTTTTACTTTTGGTGAAGTCAAATGGTTTCCACCACTGAGCAAATTGCAGTGCTTTCTTCCTCTGGTCCTCAAAGCTTTCACGGACCCCTTTCCTCCAAAGTCGAGGCTCTATATCCAGCATCCCACCAATGATTTCCTTTTAAAAGAAGGAGAAAAATACAGACACGTGTATGTATAAATACTGGAAACAGGAATGAAACGATTTGTTTATTCTGCTAATAAATATAGCATTAAGTAGTTTCAGTGAAAATGTCCAAATTTTACATAAAGATTAGTTTCAAGCTAAAAAAAAAAAAAAAAAAAAAAAAATCTGGTTTTCAATTAGTTCTAACTATGCAAACTCTGTAATCTTAGGAGTCTCCCTGCCAAGCAATTTGTCCATTCCGTGGCCTGTTAGCACATTTACCACACAACAGCAAAAGGAGGAAAAGAAAGTGAAATTTAATTTATTTGATCCTTATTAGCTGCTCTGGTTTGAAAACTAATCAACATCTAATAATTATTAACTTGGTTGTTCAACTGCAGTTGAATTTCAGGCTAATGTTCTCTCTGCTACCGAGTATATTTATAAACCAATTGTGGTAGGGGAGAGAGTGGGGGGTGAGGGGGAGTGGTTGGAAGAAGGTATAGAGGGAATAATTGATGATGGAAAAAATAAAAATCTAAGATTTATAAAAAAATAAAATAAATGATAATTTACTTCAATTTCACTAAAATGAAGTTTAAAAAAAAGTAAATTTTGTCATGTTAATGACAAAATTCTGTAATTACTAACAACAGAATGTTTCACAATGAAAACAAATTTCTTTCTAGTTAACTCTGGAAAAAAATATTGTGAAAATTCTAGCCGAAACCGGTTTGGCTCAATGGATAGAGCGTCGGCTTGGGGACTGGAGGACCCGGGTTCGATTCCGGTCAAGGGCATGTACCTTGGTTGCGGGCATATCCCCAGTAGGGGGTGTGCAAGAGGCAGCTGGTCGATGACTCTCTCTCATCGATGTTTCTAACTCTCTATCTCTCTCCCTTCCTCTCTGTACAAAATCAAATAAAATATATTTAAAAAAAAAAAAAAAAAAAAAAAATATTGTGAAAATTCTCAAACAAGTTTCTGTAATGTATCTCAACAGTTCAAAGATGCTGGTTAATCCTTTCAAGGACATAAGCATAAAACGTTTCTAATCCAAATCTGGGGGGTTGAGATTCCTCTTGACATGTCCCTTCTCCATTGTAGAAGATGGTCTTTGATAGGAGATAGAGTGGGGAGGGAGCACAGGTAACCCTGGGAATTCATCAAGGCTCCTCTCATTAGAGGACAATCTGAGAGGAAAGGTGGAGCCACCCTAAGTGAAGGGTCACTTGTAGAGCTATTATTGCCTAGACTTCTTTAGACTGCCTAAGTGGTTATGTTAATTTTATTCTAATCCCTGACGCAGGCTTATCCACCACCCAGAATCTCGGCAGACACACAGGAAGACTATATCCCTAGAAGGCAATCTGCAGTAATGAAAAGAACTTACTGGCCATAAAAGATCTACACTCCAATATCTTCCCAGAAACTATGTGTAAAATGTACGATTCTTAAAATATACGATGCTTACTTATAAATGAGGAGGTGAGACCATTTGCTCTCTAGTTCAATCATGAGTGCATGTACCCCTGGTTCTGCCATTTATTAGCAAATTATGTTGGGCAAATTATACAACCTCTCTGAAGCTCAGTTTCTTCATCTGTAAAATGAAAGTAATAACAATATCTATATAATGATGTTGTGAGAATTAAGTGAATGCTCAGAACTATACCTGTGTCAGTTTAAAGCCTCAGTAAATGTTAGCAACTACCATTCTCAGCACGAGGCTGGCTGATTCCATAGGAAAACACTACAGTCATTGTTAACACTGCCAACAAATCTTTGGTTCCAAAGGGGCATTTGGTACAACTATTCTGGGTTAATGTTATTAATAGATGCTAGGCTATACCTCTAAAAATTGGGTGGAACAGTACTCACCAACCTCGCTGTATACTGTGTCTAAAGTTTTGTTTTGACTTCCCTTCAAAAGAAAAGTGCGACTAAATGGATAAATATTTGAATGTTATTAAATTTGTGAGCATACCTTTCCAAAATAATGAGGGAATTTGTGTTGATCTTCAATGACATGAGCAAATCCTCCTTGAAGACCAAAATCCACAGAGAAGTAAGGTAAGCCTTTAGGCACCTAAATAAATAAATAAATAAATAAATCACACGTAAATACAACACGAAATCATGCTTAATCCCTCTTTGTGCTGTCTGGCATATCAATAACTAAGTATCCCTCAAGAAAAGTTAAAAAATAATAATAATAATAGTAATAAAAAGTTGAATTTCTAATATAGAAATACTGAGGCAATGACCTAACACTCTAAAACCACATTTTATTTGGTAGCGTTTCAGGCAGATAGCTCTTCATAATCCAACAATTTCATCAAAAACAATTATATTTAGGAATCCAAAATGGCAGCACAGTAAGTGGAAACTATGATGACACTCTCCCAGGACCAAACTGGAATACAGTTGAAATACAGGAACACCATCCGAAATAATCAACTGAAGCCGGGCTAGAGAAAATCCCGATAACCAAGGTCGGGAACTGGAAATCCCATAGTGGCTGTAGGAAGAGTGGAAGTGTGAAAGGGCTGGCCAGGCTCCCACAAGCAGCAGATGAAATTAGGGAGGGATATCTCAGCTGCAGGGGATTCCCACTGAGAACTAGGGCCACCCAGCAGAGAGCACCACAAATGAGAAAGGTGCCACATAACATCTGGCTGTGAAAAGCACTAGGGTTGCTGCCTGCCAGGGACATTCAGCTGGAAATGCAGGAAGACTCTTTTTCTTGTACAGCCACTCACCTTGGGCTCTGACAAAGGGAGGGCAAAGTGAACTAAAGCTGTGTGAGGAAATTCTAAGGTTGGGGACCCTGGATTTAGAGATTGGAAGGCAGCCACCCCGATTTCCTGTGCTGAGTCATTCCCTCAAGCTGCAGAGGACATCTTTCTCAGAGAGACCTTTATTATCCAGGCAGCTTTTGCCTGTGTGGCAGCAACTACCCCACCCTGTTGGAAAACTCTCACCCTACCCAGTAGAATCTACATCTTGTTGTCGTTGATAGCCTGAGGCTGAGACTGAATAACAATCAGACTGTAGGCAGAAGTGGATCTCTGGTGGTTTTTAGTCCATGCCTGATCTAATTCACAGCCTAGGGCTAGGGAAGCAGACCTTGTTGTATATATCTGTCCTTTTCAAATACACTAAGCACCAACAGAGGAAGCCACAAGTTGTGCATTGCTTATAGCTCCAAACATGGTGCCCAGAGCCAGTCACCAACAGATTCTGAGAGTGAAGGAATGGGGAAAAAATTTCCCAGGCAAATGGAAATGAAAAAAGAAAGCTAGGGTAGCAATTCTCATTTGACAAAATAAGACTTCAAAATGAAGACCATCATAAGAGACAAAAAAGCCACTTCATAATACTAAAGGTAATGATTCAACAAGAAGATATAACCCTTGTAAACATATATGCATTCAATATAGGAATGAATAACATTCCTATATTCAGTCTTATACTAGATCACATGGATCTAAGTGATATTTATAGAATATGCCACACCAAAGCAATAGAATATACATTCTTCTCAAGTGCACATGGAACATTCTCAAAGACAGACCACATAAAAGGGCACAAAACAAGTCTATACAAATTCAAGAAGACTGATATAATACCAAGAATCTTCTCATATCACAATGGTATCAACTTAGAAGTCAACTAAAATAAAAACACTCAAAAACATTCAAACACATGCAGGCTAATAGCATGTCATTAAACAATGAATGGGTTACCAATGAGATCAAGCAAGAAATAAAACACTTCCTGGAAATAAATGAACACACAACCACCCAAAACGTATAGGACATGGTGAAAACAGTCCTGAGAGGAAAGTTCATAGCACTTCAGAACTACCTCAAAAAACAAGAAAAAGGACTAATAAAGTATCTAACCCTACAACTAAATGAACTAGAAGGAGAACAACAAGAGCCCAAAGGAAGTAGAAGGAAGAAAATAATAAAGATCACAAAAGAAATAAATGACATAGAGACGAAGAAAATGGTACAAAAGAAAAATAAATACAAGAGTTGGTTCTTTGAAAAGATAAACAAGATTTATGAAACTCTAACCAGACTCATCAAGAAACAAATAAATATAAGTAGAGATGAAAGAGATGATATAACAACAGACACCATAGAAATACAAAGGATTATATGCAAACAAACTGAACAATCTGGGTGAAATGGATAAATTTCTGGGTGAAATGGACAAATTCCTAGAAACATACAATCTTCCAAAACTCAATCAGGAATAATCAGAAAACTTGAATAGGCCAAAAGCAGCTGATGAAATTGAAGCAGTAATTAAAAAACTTCCAGCAAACAAAAGTCCTAGACTGGATGGATTTAAAGATAAATTTTATCAAAAACAGTATGAAGTTTTCTCAAAATATTAAAAATGGAACTTCCATTTTACCCAGCAACCCCACATCTGTGAATATATCCTAAAAACCGAAAAACACCAATTGGAAAGAACATATGCACCCCTATGTTCATAGCAGAGTTATTTATAATAGCTAAGGTTTGGAAACAGCCCAACTGCCCATCAGTAGATGAATGGATAAAAAAAGCTGTGGTACGTTTATACAGTGAAATACTATGCAGCTGTAAAAAAGAGGGACCTCTTACCCTTTGGGACATGAATAGATCTGGAAAATATTCTGCTAACTAAAATAGGCCAAACTGAGAAAGATAAATGTCACATGTTCTTATATATTTGTGGAATCTAATGTACTGACCAACATAATAAGACTCCAAGTGGTGAGGCATGGACAGACGGCCATGATGTGGGGTTGTGGGGACAAGAAGAACTTATATACCAGTACTTATATACAAAGAACTTATATACCAGTATGTGTGTGTGTGTGTGTGTGTGTGTGTGTGTATTTGTGTGTGTGTGTGTATATATATATATATATATATATATATATATATATATATATAGCCCATGGACACAAGCAATAAGATAGTAAAGACCCGGGGAGTTTGTAGGGGCTGAGAGGAGGGGCAAAGGGAGGGAAAATGGGAGGTATCAACAATAAAGAATACATTTTAAAAAATAATAAAAGTTAAAAAAAAAAGTGGATAACTTGAGAGTAGATAGTACAGTGTAGTGGAAAGAAAGTGGTCATCTTGAAATAATACAAAACAATTAAAATTAGGGCTAACAGTTTTTTTCATGTTATAGGAAAAGTGTAAGTAAAAACAACTCAGTTTACAAAATATGCAGAAAAACGTGTTACTGTTTTATGACTTCGTGTTTTTATATTTTCACATTTTAAAAATATAAACATGTGTGAACTAGAGTATTAAGAAAAAATAAAGATACAGATAGAGCTCTAATCACAGTACTGATTCTTATAACAGGCAAGTTATCCAGCATCTCTGAGTCTCATGAGAACTGTGAAGAGCTCAGAGGTTTGCTGGGAGGATCAAAAAGGAAAGTGCTCATTAAGTGCATGGCCCCGTGCCCGGCACCTTGTCTGTTTAAAATTACTCAAATTTTACTTTCTTTTCTGCTTCTCAAACAACAGTACTTTGTGCAAAACTGGTGGTTAAAGAAAAAAAAGGATGGAAGACTCCCATAAAATATTTTTGCTACCTGAAGCAGATCATGTGCGAAACAATGAATCTGAATGGCTAAAACACTGTTATAGAAGTACATCAACTAAAGGACGGTACTTGGCGGGAGAGAGAACTTCAGGAAGCGATTTGTGATGATAATGCCCATGCCTTTTGTTTGGATTATATTGTGTTTGGCAGAATAATGGCCCCCTAAATATGCCAATAACTTAATCCATTATGTGCCATGAATACTTGCTTTATATGACAAAAGGGATGTTGCAGATACAAATAAGTTATGGATCTTGAAAGGGGGAGATTATCCTGGGTTATCCAGTGGGCCCAATGTAATCACAATAGTACTTCTGAGAGAGAAACAAGAGGGAGCGACTCAGAGAAAGATTGGAAGGTCCTACACTGCTGGCTTTAAAGATGAAGGAAGGCACCATAGACCATGGCACACAGTGACTTATAGAAACTGGAAAAGGCACCGGAATGGATCCTCCACTAGAGCCTCCGGAAAGAATGCAGGCCTGCTGAACACCTTGACTTCAGCTCAGGGAAACTCATCTTCTAATTGTGACCTCCAAAACTCTAAGATAATAATAAATCTGTGTTGCTTTATACCACTAAGTTTGTGGTAATCTGACACATCAGCAATCGGAAATTAATAAACACACCAAATCCTAACGATCTACAGCATAACTGCCAAGATGGCACAGCCAACTCTACCACGTTTAACGAAGAACAGCTCCTCCTCTGTGCTCTCGCCGAGGCTGCCGAAGGAACAGCCTTGCTACCGGAGTTGTTAGTCAGCAGGCATTGGGAAGGCTCTACTTTCAAAATACAGCATTTATCTTTCCTTGCCTTAACCAGCCAGAGAGAGAAAAGTTAAAACCTTGGTACCATTCTTAAAAAGTACTGATAGAGTTACCTGTTTTTTACAATTGCTACAATTGCAAAACCATTTTATTTATGATAGAAAAACTGTAGTACTTGAATTTTCTCCTTTTAATATTCCAGATATCACTCCTGACTTCTTATAATTATCCTTGAGCTTGTAGGTCTCTGAGAAAATTACAATTTTCCTTAAAAAAAAAAATCAGTCCTTAAATGTGTTAGATGTTTTTCACAAAAATACCTTAAAAGTCACATTTAAAAGTTAACAAAAAATTCATATGAAATCTCAATATAATAGCCTTGGAACAAAAATGACCAGTTTCTTGACAAGTTGTTTAGTATCATGTCATCTCCCCTGCAATGAACATTCAGAACTATATTCTTTTGTATATTTCCATAAATTCACACTACACTGCAAAGATATTAAAAGACCCAAGAGAGAATAAACAAGATGGACATACAAAGAGAAACTTATACTCACATAGTGAGGAAAAATATAAATCAAGAAAAAATCAGAATTAATTACAAATATTTGAATCTCTACTAAAAGCCAAGAATCTACTTTGAAAAAAAAATCAATTATCCATTATTTGCCATGAATATGTTGGCAAATAATGGATAAAAGCTCCCAAAGGCAGTTCAAATACTTTATGAAATTACCAAGGACAAAAAGCTCTTAAAACACATATAATGAGGATTTTTTGTGTTTCTTTTTCAGAATAAAAATGTCAAAATAATTCAAGATTGTTCACTTCATGCTCAAAACACTTTTATCACTTTAAAATGACACTGGAAAGCTTGTTGACCTAACAATTGACCTGCTCTGGAGTTATTCTTATACTCAAGTTCTCTTCACAATTCTATCACATAATTGCTAAATCCTAAAGCTAAGATGGACCTCAAAAACTCACTGACTCCTTCCTCACCTGCTATGACTCTCAGATGCAGCAATATCTAGGATTGGAAAAAGCAATTGGTGCAATATTTGAAACACTTCAAAGTTGAATATACAACTACTAAGGATTGGGAATCCGTTTTTTATTTTCCATATTGGTTAAGTTAAATACTAAAACCCTCTGAGTACTTCTAGGAGAGTCTTTATGTATTGTTTTTAAGTATGCTGTCTAGCTCAATTCACTAGCAAGGGAAAATAAAAAAACCATAGAGAATATTTTACCTCTGATTTAAAATTATCTTTGATAATGCATGAAATTTGAATATTCTGACAGGGATATAATACATGTAGTAAGGAATCCTATCATTCACATGTAGTAGGAGTCCAGCTTTCCAAAAGAAGAAATGAGAGAAAAATATTCTAGTGATATCTACTACTAGAATAGGGTAGGCAAACTTAAGAAACTTACAAAAGTTTCCACTTAAATAAACTATTTGGAGGCTTTGCAGATTATAGTTTCTGTCATAACACTCAACTCTGCCCTTGTAGCAAGAAACCTGCCAAAGATAATAGATAAACAAATGGGTGTAGCTGTGCTCCACACGCACAGGCGGCAGGGTTTAACACACAGCCTGAGGTTCCAAACCCTGCCCTCAATATAAGCTCCGTCAAGTCAGGGAACATCTCTGTTTTGTTCCGCTATGTATGAAAAGCACCTAAATAGTGCCTGGTGAATAGGAGGCACTCAATAAACACCTGTAGATTAAATTACACTTTTAATAGAAAAACAAATGGAATTCACAAGTCTATCTTTATTTCGTTTCATTTCTATTTCTAAAAAGAGGAAGGTCATTAAAAAATTACTCAACTTATGTGAACCTTACCTCTAAACATTGATCTGGGTGTGCTCCCCTCCCAGAAGCAAGCCAGTGTCTTTCCCTTCCCTTTCCCCTTCCCTCTGCTCCCACACCTGTGTATCTCCTACACTCTAAGGGACCCCACGAGACTTGCATCCAGGGGAGCACTGGCAGCAGCAGCTTGGCCCAGGCTAAACCCCGAATCTGTCTCCCAGGCCCCCTTTTCTTTGACTTTTCAGTGAGCCAGAGCAGCCCAGCCTACGCTCTCTCCTGTTGCTTCTTCTATCTCAAGCCCTTCTTTGTTTCCCTGTCCCTGGCTTTAATAAGCGCCTTCTCCAAATCAAAAATTTAAAAAGTTGATCTGTAAGTCAGTATTAAACTAGGGGAAATGGTGGGGATATTCCCCATAATAAACCTGTAATCTAACTCAACTACTTGAAAGGGACATAACAGGAAACCTTTGTATAAAAAAACAGCAACAAAAAAAGAAATGAGTCCAGGTGGGTAGCCCAGGTGGTTAGGGCATCCCCATAAGCCAAGGTTCCAGGTTCCATCCCAGGTCAGGGCACACACAAGAAACCAATGAATGCATAAATACGTGGAACAACAAAATCAATGATTCCCTCTCTCTTTCTGTCTCTCCCTCCCTCTCTCCATATCTCTCTCTCTCTCCCTCCCTCTCTTCATATCTCTCTCTCTCTCTCTCTCTCTCTCTCTCTCTCTCTCTCTCTCTCTCTCTCTCTCTCAAAAATCACTTAAAACTACCATGAAAAACAAGTTCAAAAATCAAAATAGAGCCTCTAGAAAAATGCCTCCCATTGTGCTTCTGTGACAAGAAAGCCTCGCTCACCACGGTCCCACTGCACCCAAGAAGCACAGGACAGGAGCTCTCGTGGCAGGGTCTGATGGCCGACTACAATGTCAGAGGGCAGGAGGGGCAGGAATAAACATTCCAATAAGCATCTGAACAAATATGCATTTGCTAGATCAGGCAGAATGAAAAGAGATCCTTCTTCACCTGAAGAATCAGTTACTTCGCATTTGGTCATTCAGCCAAACGGTTCCTTCCTCAAATAAGATGTGGAAATTAATGAAGATCCTTAACACTAGGGTAATTTCTTATATTGGGAAAAAAATACTTACAGATTTTCTGATATCTTTGGAAGACAGATCGATCAATTTCTTGTTCATAGACCACTCCTCATCAGACTCCATTATGGCTTTCTAAGAAATAGCCATTTGTTAATGAAAAATAATATATATGTAAATACAACAAGACAGTTTAAAAAACTCAAATACAGTAAATGAATTACAGGGTATATTATACGTGGTAAGTCATTATTTTGAGTGGACAGGCTTTAATTTGAGTTACTTAAAATTGGAACTTCTTGATTTTTTTAAAAGTCCTACCTTTAGTCAAGAGAGTTTTCTCATTCTTAACTCTTGACTGAATTTAAGTTCAGCTCAACTTTACATGAATAAAACCATCTTTAATACAACCAACCAATTTACTATTGCACAAAATTATGAATATAAAAGGTCACAAATTCCTTCCTCTTTTCATAGACAGCTACTACAAATAAATACACTTAGTTTTATTGCTTTTTTCAAATATGAAAAGAGTAATTCCTATGCCTTCTAGCAACCAAGTAGTGAAAACTATTTCTGGACATATAACAAACAAGTAAAAATGCAGGGGGGTGGGGAAACATAGAAATGGCAATATAATACTTTCTAGTTTAAGCAATAGAATAAAATTTACGGTAAAGAAATATTTAATAGAAAGAAAGGCTAGGGTGATTAATATAAAATAATCTCTTTTTTATACAGTACTAGAGGCTCAGTGCACAAATTCGTGCACAGGTGGGGTCCAGCTGGCCTGCCCCAACCAGGGTAGATCAGGCCAGGGGAAGGGGCCGAAGGTGGTTGGCCAGCTGGCCCCGCCTCCTGGTTCAACTCCTAGTTGAACAGATCGAACTTGTAGTCGAGGGGACAATTTGCATATTAGCCTTTCATTATATAGGATTGTAATTAATGAAGCAACTTCTAATGATGAAATTAACATTCAAATAACACAATTTAAATACATCAGATATACTGCTGCTCCCTATTTAAAAAGCATGGGTTGCCCTAGCTGGTTTGGCTCAGCGGACTGTAGGCTCCATCCTCAGTGGAGGGCATGCAGGAGGTAGCTGCTCAATGTTTTCTCTCATCACTGATGTTTCTATTTCTCTCTCCCTCTCCCTTCCTCTGAAATCAATAAAAATACATTAAAAAAATTAAAGGCATGGGTTACTTGTGTTGGCACTATAACGTAGCACATTCTATATAAAAATTGAGCCAAATCCGCCCCACCAGTTTGGCTCAGTGGTCAGCCTGTGGACCAAAGGGTCCCAGGTTCAATTCCAGTCAAGGGCACATACCTTGGTTGCAGGCTTCTCTTCAGCCCAGACCCTGGTTAGGGCTCATGCAGGAGGCAACCAATTGATGTGTTTCTCTCACATCTGTGTTCCTCTCTTTCCCTTTCTCTTCTACTCTCCCTAAAAATCAATGGGAAAATATCCTCAGGTGAGGATTAACAACAACAAAAATTTAAGCCAAATCCAATAAATGCATCTTTAATGATCATGTGGTGTGCCCCATACCTCCATGCCTATAGTCACAATCAATCAGGATTATATCAGTTCAAAACAACAAACAAACAATAGGCACTGAAGAACAGTACAATATCTCTCAACTGATTTTCTTTAACATAGGATTTACATTGCCATCCTATACTGACTAAACATTGCATTTGCAAGTCTTCCAACAGTATCTCACAAAACATTACCTCATTTTTTTTATTGCGCACATTACTATTTCATGTACAGTTCTACACTTATGTATTTATATTAGTCTATTAAACTATACTGTATTCAGGTCAGCATCAGACACATGCTATTTATTAAGTTCCTTGAATATTATAACACTTAAGCAAGAACTATAGTCATTTACTATATACCCAAAAATGTATGTCAAAGTAAGATATCAGTTTCTCTTTATAAATAGCATAATGAAGTATGAAATACTAAAACTTGCAGCAATAACTTGCTTCAGCAATTGCTATTTGTACTGTTAGTATGTAACTGTCTATGGCTCTCATAAATTTCAATGATAAGTTTTCTAGAGTATGAATATAATTTTAATTTGGAAGTACTTAATGTAAAACTATTTTTCATTTGAAAAATGAGAAATTGGAATAGTAATTATAAATTATCATTTGATATTATATGCACACTTATAAAAAAGCATGCTGCCCTAACCAGTTTGGCTCAGTGGATGGAGCATTGGCCTGTGGACTGAAGGGTCCCAGGTTCCATTCTGGTCAAGGGCATGTACCTTGGTTGTGGGCACATACCCAGTAGGGAGTGTGCAGGAGGCAGCTGATCGATGTTTCTCTCTCATCGATGTTTCTAACTCTCTATCCCTCTCTCTAAAAAATCAATAAAATATATATATTTTTAAAAAGGCATGCTTTTCAAGGCCAAAAATCCAAAATTTCTTTCCATAGAAATTTATAAAGAATTTTTTGTGATTTAATTTATGTCTTCATATAACATAAAATCTTATTTAAGTACACTGGAGAAAAAATACAAAATAAAGATAACTATATTCATAAAACTGCACTGTAGCAAAATACAAGTACACATGTAAAGACTATCTGTAAATACCTTAAAATAGATGGGCGCCATATCACCCACTTCCTTTGGGACAGGAATGCATTCATAAACCATATGATACTGTTTCTTCATGCTCAAGTTAGTTTCTAAAAAGACGCAATCCAACCCTTTATCTTCAAACATCTTTACCAATGATTTTCTAAACATCTAAAGAAAGGAAAACATAAAGAAAGGTAAAGCACTTACAGAAGATTCAAAATATGAAAATAATTACAAGTACAATGAATCCCTTTAAAATAAAAGACAAATTGTAAACTACACCAGAACTACATGTTACTTTGTAGCTGCTTTACTTTCTAAATCCACTACATAATTTCACATATGTAAGCAACATTTTTTAAAACTGCAATTCACACTGCATAGTTTTATCTATATATATGAAATGGTTCCAATAAACTAAAATAAGGAAAGAGATCAAGTCAAATTCAGGTGGTAAAATATGCAGACATTACAGTAAAATATAGGAAAACATCCCTATGCCAAAAAAAGGCAGCATCCTTTAATCCAGCAACAGACAGGCAGCCTTCACTTCTAATCGTTTCCCTATGCTCACAGCATCTTCATTTGCTGGTTCTCTCATGTCTGCTGACCCTCCACTTGTAACCTTGTGTATTGCAGTCCTACCAAGAATATGAAAATCCAATATACTAAAGATGAAAAGAGTAATTTCTCTTCCCAAATAGCTCATCATTATTACAAAATCCTTATTATTTACTTTTTTTACTTATTTATTTTATTCATATTTCACACTCCTTGACCTGAGGGACTGCTGTCTGTACAGGAGCTTAGATATGGAGTCCACGACTTTAACATGTATTCACAGGCCACCCCTCATAGTATAGGAGGGAGCAGGGATTGGAAGAAGAAAGGTGAGCAGGCCAAAGACCAGGAGCCAACTCTCCCCACGGCACCATGTGCAGACCCCCAGGGTGTCTGAGAATTACAAATTCAAACTTGGCCTAGTAGAGTGTTATGCAAGTATATGTGTCCAAGTAGGGGAATGAAATACGTTTCATTTAGATTTATCAGCCTGATTTATAACTTTTAAATATCTTAATTATTTTATTAAGATAAAGATCACATGTAGAAATAATACGGAGCAATCCCAGGTGCTCTTAACCCAGCTTCCCCCAATGGTAACATTTTATAAAAGCACATACAATCAAGACAGTAATATTGATGCAGTTAAGATACAGAGCGACTCCAATACTATGAGGATGTCTCCTGTTGCCCTTTTCTCTCACACTCACTCCCACCCCCATCTCCTTTCTTAAATGCTGGCAACAACCACTTTGTTCTACTCTCTTTAATTTTGTCATTTCAGGAAAATTATATACACTGAATCACATAATCTTTTGGGGTTGGTGTTCTTCACTTAACATAATTCTCCAGAGATCTGACCAGTTTGCTGCTCAGACACTGCTTAGAAGTTCAGGTTCCCCTCTCAGCTCCTGCTGACACTGGGAAAGGGAAGAGGCTGCTCATTACTGTGGGTAGGGGATGAACAGTCTGGTCCCAGCCAGGCCTCCACTGATCATCTACTACTGTCACTCAACACTGTTCCACCTTTCCCTCATTTTATGAAGAAAGAGCAAGTTGGAAAGGAAGGGAGGGAGGGAGGGGTCAAATAATTATAATTTGAGGTGAATTATAAGGGTACCTCATAAGCAACAAGCATGGGATTCACTTTTCATTTCTGATGGCAGCAATATTAAGTTGAACACAGTCTCTCTCTCTTTTTTTTTTTTTAATCATTATTGTTGAAAGTATTACAGATGTCCCCCATCTTTCCCCCACTGACCTCCTCCACCCCACTCCCACCCCCTCCCCAGGCCTTCCCCACACTACTGTCTGTCTAAGGGCTAGCATGTACGCATATAAATTCTTTGGTTAATCTATTCCCACCTTCCCTCTTCCCACCCTCCCTCTTCCCGGGCATACAAGAAAACCAAATTTCCCAGCCTCTCTGGGGCTTAGGTGGGGCCACATTTAGCTCTGAGCAATGAATGCAGGTGGAAAGGATATGTACGGACTGGGTGCTGATGCAGCTCAGAGGCAGTATGCCTTCTCATGTTCACTGTCTTCCATCCCAGATGCTGAAAGAGAAGGACTCCACCACAGAACAGCCTCATCAGGGAAGGAGCCCGGATGCCTGAAGTACCGCTTACAGGTGATCTGCCTTAGAGAACTGTTATCCAGTCCACTTTGGACTATGATATAAGAAATTAACTTTTGCTGTCTCAAACTACTGTGCATTGGGTTTTATTTGCAACCTAACTGAAAATGACAAGATGGGCAATTCACTGACATCAGGGCTATGACTGAAGCGGCTGCTGAACCAGTAAGTGACAACAGTTAACCCTGCTGTTCCCTCTGCTGAACTGTATGTCCAAATAGTTACCTTCCTATGCCTCATACTATATGCACAAAACAACTAAAAAACAAAATCAAGTGGGAAAATATGCACATTTGATTTCAGAATATAGTTTATTAGGTCATCTCTATTTTGTTAACTGTTACTATGTTTGTAAATTTTTATTTATTATACATGTTTTCAATTAGTTGTTAATTTACTTCATTTTCTAATTCTGTAGAGAGAAAATAATTTTATATACTAGAAAAAGGAAAATTATTTTCTATATAAGTGGAACTATATATTTGAAAACCAAACATTTCTGAAGAAGGGAAAAAGTGAATAAAAAGCAGCAACAATAAAAAAAATTTAGGTAATCCAAATTGGCTCACAAACTTCCTTCCTTCTTGTTTGTTCATAATTCTTTCTTGGTTTAACTGTTGAAAATAGTGAAGACAGACTCAAGATGTCATGAATTATAAATGAAAACTCAAAAGTACTAAATGAGTAGTGATAAAAGAATAGTTTGATATTATAAAATATATAAACATGCTAATAGCTTCGAGGATAGTACTATTTAAGTATTTCTGCTCTATGAATATAAAAGATTTTAATTTTAAAATATGAGCTTAATGGTGTAATTTGAGATTACCAATTCCATTAAAGCAGAATTCCGCCCCTGGAGTTTAGTATAATGAATATACTATATATATTTAAATAATATTCATTTTTATAGTTATATGAAAACTAAACAGTGAAGAAAGCGCTTTAGTTCATTATAAGATACCAAAACTATTTTATGCTTCAGAAAGATATAGAGGTCCCATGTTATGGAGATAACATAAGATTTCCATATTCCTAGTAGAAAATACTTCACGCTTTGGGTAATCACTATTTTCCACATTTCTAAGCTACGATTATTCACCTAATTTCCTCATTTAGTTAACACACCTGTACTAAAATTCCTTAGAATATACTTAAGTAAACAACACTACAGGGTGTTATAATTCTTAATATGTATTAAGTCACATCACACAAGAATCAGGTTGGTATGTAAACAATTTTGAAATGAAAATGAAAGTATTTTCCTTAAAAATAACAAAGCTATCATATAATATTATTCCTATTATTTATTAGGTTTTCTATAATAATAGAACTTAAGTTAAAGTTCTAAAGGTAAAGTTACCCAAGGATAAATATTATAAGATAGAACAGAACATACACATTTAAATCTATACCCTTCACAGAGTTACCCCTCAAAAATGACATTAATTTTTAAAACAGCTCAAAACAACTAGAACAAAGGATGAGAGAAAACACTAAAGATCAGATCACCCAGGATTATCTGACTTAAACACTGGAAGCTGTTCACACCTGGGGGGGGGGGGTAGGAGAGGAGCTTAGCAGGGACAAGAAAGAAGAGAGCTGGGCTGCAGAATCCTCAGGTACTGAGGATCCGGACCTGGCAGCACCAAGTAAAGAGGAAGTGAGTGAAGGTGTGGTGAAAAACAGAAGGGGCCCTGGCTAGGTGGCTCAGTTGGCTGGAGCAGTGTCCCATGCACCGAAAAGCTGTGGGTTCCTTAAAAGTGAAGTATTTTCTACTAGGAATATGGAAATTTTATGTTATCTCCATAACATCGGATTTCTGTATCTCTTTGAAGGATCTCAATCAGAGCACATACCTCGGGTCTGTGTGGGTCTGATCCCTGGTCAGGGCATGTAAGAGACTCAGCCAATAGATGTTTCTCTCTCACTCTTTCCCTTCCTCTTTCTCTCAGATAATCGATAAACATAAACTCCCGGCAGGATTAAAAACAAACAACCCAGATGGCAGAGGTGAAAGTCTTTAAGACTCCAGAGGCCCTCCTCCACACCAGCAGAATACTAAAGGATTCTCCTTTGTAGAAGGCGGCTGGGCTAAGAAAACCAGATAGCCGAGATTCTACAGTCTGAAAATGGACATTATATTTAAATGTTCAACATTTTGGCACTCCAGCCGCTTCCCCGACTCAGCTCCCAGAACACTGACCAGCTGGCTTTAATGCTCGAGGCAAGAGATTAAAAGGGTCTTTCTAGAGATTCTGATTGGCCCCAAGAAAAAGACCTAAAGGTACCCTGGGAAACTGGAGGTTTCCCAATGGAATGGCCCCATCATATCTCTCCACAGTGAAGTCCACTGTAGATGAGAATCAAGGACTCTACCACCATACTGCTAATTTGGGATATTTAAAAAATGGACTTATAACATATGTTCAAACATATTTGTCAAACTGGTAAAAATACATTTTAAAGGGGACGGAATTTCACTATGTATTTAACAAAACTAAAAATCTGGAACTTATTCATTCGAAATTTGTGATTATTCCCATATGTTCCGCTGAAACTTATCTTTGCATTTTTATTAAATATAAAATCTAAGATTAAATTTAAATGTTACTAGAGGATGGTGAAAAAGTCACTTGAAAGAAATGGCTCCTTAGCCGAGACGGGTTTGGCTCAGTGGATGGAGCGTCGGCATGTGGAATGAAGGGTCCCAGGTTCGATTTCAGTCAGGGGCATGTACCTTGGTTGCAGGCATATCCCCAGTAGGGGGTGTGCAAGAGGCAGCTGATCGATGACTCTCTCTCATCGATGTTTCTAACTCTCTCTATCCCTCTCTCTTCCTCTCTGTGAAAAATCAATAAAATATATATTTTAAAAAAAATGGCTCCTGCATTTGCAAACAATATATTCATATATATATATTTTTTAATATTTTTATTGATTTCAGAGAGGAAGGGAAAGGGAAAGATAGAAACATCAATGATGAGAGAGAATCATTGATCAGTTGCTTCCTGCACACCCCACACAGGAGATGGAGCCCACAACCCGGGCATGTGCCCTGACTGGGATTCAAACTTTGACCTCCTAGTTCATAGGTTGATTCTCGACCCACTGAGCCACACAGGCTGGACTGCAAACAATATATTTTGCTAGCTCTAATCATTTTTTAAAATATATTCTCTAAAAGAGGTGAATAGCCATATGGATATTTACCAGGGTATAAGTAGAGTTTTTATACATATTTGGAAGTAAAAAAATAATAATAAATAAAAAGCTACATTTCTTTAAATATGCAAGAATTCAGATATTTTATTTACTATCTTACAGCAATTTAGAACTTTTAACGATTTTTCTTTTTACCACACACACACAGAGAGAGCTGTAATGCCATTATTTGTATGAAACAATTTGGTTTTTCTTCCCTCACTCAATATTCGGTAATTCACATGGCTTACAAAATCTGCTCAACTATAATGTAGCCTGTACTAGAATATGCCACACATTTGGGCAGAATTGATGAATGCATTTCTCTCTGCATTTCTCTCAACACTTGGATTATCTTATACTCATGTATTCAGTATATGTTGTACTGAATAAATTCCTTCTTTATCTACCTCAATGTGTTTCATAAAGTAGCTTAATTTCTTACAGAAATATAAAACACACAGACTTGATTCCTGTATTACCTAAAATCTTTCTGGCACCGTATTTTGTTCTAAATAAAATCAGTTTTGACATATAAATTTTTTGTTTTATATGAGTACCACTTTTTTCATTCTGTTTTTTTTTTAATTGATTTTAAAGAGAGGAAGGGAGATGGAGAGAGAGAAACATCGATGAAAGAGAAACATCCATCAGCTTCCTCCTATAAGGCCCCACAGGGGCTGGAGCCCATAACCTGGGCATGTGCCCTGACCAGGAATTGAACCGGCGACCTCTTCTTGCATGGGATAACGCTCAATCCCCTGAGCCACATGGGCTGAGAAATATATATACTTTTTAAAAGCACTTCAGAAAAGTCCCAAAATAATTCTGAAAACTGAATTTGCATATTTTTCACTTGAAATTATTTATTGCATTGGCATCCATTACTAGGAAAAAAAATTTTTTTCACATCAAATATGTTAGTCCACATTCTTACCCTTGCTTGGCAATAGATGCATTAAAACAGTCTGTCCTTTAACTTTCCCAGCATAAACTTAAATATTCCTGGGAGAAAGAGACTTGAATTTCATTCAATGCAGTTAAAATATCTCCTCTTTTGGCATCTTTACCGGCAACATGAAAAGACTAGACTAGTATATAGTCTCTTTTGAAGTCTAACCATTTTCACATTTTTCTAGGTAGAAGTATCTGTATCCATAGGTCAGGTATTAAAAAAAAACCAAGAGTTTTCATTCTTTCTTTCTTGGTGATTATGAGGACTTGAAATAATTCAGCAGCAATTTCAACCATACTATTGTGCCTTTCAATTTCTTAGAGCCCCCTGATGCATACACAGCGCCCCTGAATCCAAACCCTGGGCCAGGTTATAAAGGGAAAAGCGCAAAAATTAAAGCTGGTAACAAATCCCCACAAAAATCACAACAGCAGAGACAGTCATTTCCATTACAGAAAAATAAAACAACTGCTGAATATAAAAATCTAACTTCCAAAATTTATTTTTCATTATCTAAAAATATCTTTCCTTTTGGCTGTAATTTATTAGCTTACTGTGGTAAGCATGATTATCTCATGTTTCACAAACGCACAGATTAAAAATCTTACACTGACTTTTTAAAAGTAAAAATAATAATTACTTTGCCACAGTATATATAGTAAACAAAAGCTTTCAGTTGAACACCTGAAACTAAAATGTTATATGTCACTGTATCTCAATTAAAAAAAAAAAATTTTTTTTTTTTAAACTTTCAAAATATGGCCCTGGCTGGGTAGCTCAATTGATTTGAGTGCCATCTTACTATACCAGGTTGCAGATTCGATCCCAGGTCAGGGCTCATACAAGAATGAATGCATCAATAAGTAGAACAAATCAATGTTTCTTTCTCTCTGTCTCGTCGTCCCCCCCCCCCTCTCAAATCAATAAATAAATTTTAAGAAAGTAAAAAGCTTCCAAAGTATATAGTACATGAGGGATCATGATGGAAATACCATGATCCACAGATATGCACACCTATATAAATGTATACAACTTCAGAAAGTTAAAAATCATTGGGTGAAGGTATAAGACTTGAGATTTATCAGAACAGTTTGTAAAAATTGTTCATAAGCACTGCAATGACAATGGCCACTATCATGCTGACCTGAATTTCCTCCCAGATGTCTTCATCCAATAAGGTAGCGGCTCTGTGGTGCTGCAGAGGGACTATCAGGCAGTGACCCTCAGTAAGAGACTGGAAGTTGGGCAAACATAAATAAACCTATGGGGGGAGAAATTGCAAACATGAAATGTTATTGCTATCTATTCTCAGTTGCAACAAACAGACCCTTATTAGGGAAATACGGCTAACATTTAATGAAGTATACTTATATAAAATATAAGCAATATATTTTAATATTTTAAAAGCCATGAAGATGTTTTTTTTAAAACTAAATATTTATTGTTGAAAGTATTACAATAATAACACCCCACCTCCCTACCCCAGGTCTTCACCCCTACTGTCTGTGTGCATGAGTTATGCATATATGCACCCAAGTTCTTTGGTTGATCACTGCCCACCGACCCATACTCCCCCACCTTCCCTTTGATAGTCTGCAGTATGTCCTATGCTTCTATGTCTCTGGATCTATTTTGTTCATCAGTTTATTTTGTTCATTAGATTCCACATATGAATGAGATCATGTGATACTTGTCTTTCTCAGACTGGCTTATTTCACTTAGCAGGATACTCTCCAGGTCCCTCCATACTGTCTCTTTTTTTACTGCTGCATAGTATTCAATGGTATAAATCTGCGGTCGGCAAACTGTGGCTCTTGAGCCACATGCGGCTCTTTGGCCCTTTTAGCGTGGCTCTTCCACAAAATACCACAGCCTGGGTAAGTCTATTTTGAAGAAGTGGCATTAGAAGGAGTTTAAGTTAAAAAAAAAAATTGACTCTCAAAAGAAATTTCAATCATTGTACTGTTGATATTTGGCTCTGTTGATTAATGAGTTTGCCGACCACTGGTATACCCAAGGGTAGAATGAAAGACACTTTATCCATGATCTGAAAAAGGTATATGCTTTAAAGACCTTGTTATAATTTTGCAAGAATAAAACGTGTGTGTGTGTGTGTGTGTGTGTGTGTGTGTGTGTGTGTGTGTGTGTTTTATTCCTGCAATATATATGGCCTGGTAATAGCAGATGTCTAACTAATACTTATTAATTCAGGCCTTTCTCTTATTGGCTGAGAAAGGAGAATTCACCCTACTAAGAGAGAACGGAAATATAGCCCCTGAGTGGCTATACTTCTCTGGCTAAGTTCCATTTATTTACATACATGTATTAGCTACAAGCTGGAGCTACTTATCCATTATAAACTTTTTTTTTTTTTTTTTTTTTTTTTTTTTAAGAAAGCGTTAATAGGCCCCAGCCAGGTGGCTCAGTTGGTTGAAGCATTGCTCCCCATACATTAGAAAGGTTGCAAGTTCAATTCCTGGTCAGGGCACATACCTAGGTTACAAGTTTGATTCCTAGTACGGGAGGCAACTGATCAATGTTTCTCTCTCACATTGATCTCTCTCTCTCTCTCTCTCTCTCTCTCTCTCTCTCTCTCTCTTCTCTATCTCTTTCTCTCTCCCTCCCTCTCTCTCTCTCTCCATTTCTTCCTCTCTCTAAAGTCAATAAACAGATCTTCAGGTGAAGATAAAAATAAAAGGTCAATTAGTATGTATAATAGTGAGCAAAAGGTATTCTTGAGGAGCATCAATAATATTCTGTATAGTCGCTTGATCACATCTTCTGGTTTTTGTTAGGCTTTAGCTAGAAATATTTTGTATGGCAGACAATATTTATTTATTGTTTGTTTTAATAAAATAATTCAAATTTTAAAAACTTTGCTGAGAAAGGACCATATTCACAATTAAAAATGGTATCAGTAGTGATTCATTAATAAAATAAGCTCCATAATATATGAGTCTCAATTTTCCCCAGTGAATAATTAGGGTCAGTGAATATCAGGTACATGATAATGATTTACTTAATATAAGAATTAAGTCACCAAATATTTATTGAAATAAGCGACTCTTATTAGTTACTATTAAATAAGTGATTATTAAATTTATTGAAATAAATTACTGTAAATAGGCATGCTTGGCATACAATGATGAACAAATTATCTATATCCTCATGAAACTTAGACTCTTGGGGAAGATATTCAATAAACAAGTAAAACAAAATAGTGAACTTTTTCAAATGATGAGATATTCTATAAAGAAATAAATAGGTTCTGTGAGAAAGTAAGTAAAGAAGAAGCTACTTTAGATGATCTCTTATGTGGATTTTAATTTGGAAAATCAAATGTCAATCATAAAAATAAGATCAGACATGGGATAATGACAGAGCCAGAATTTGAATTCACATAATCTGGCTCCACAAAGAATTATGCAAAATGCAAGCTTCATGTTATTTAAATATTTACACTCGCTGTAAAAAAACATTTTAAAAGTCATGGGTCATGGGACCCTAGAAAAGAAAAATATCTGAAACATAGAATAAGAGAAGACAGATCTCCTTAGGAATCTTATAAAAGTATGAAGAAAGAGGCAAATCTACATATACCACTAAATCATTTCCCAATAAATTGTATATTTCTTACCTTAACACCTATTGCAATAATAAGGTGCTTGGGAAACTGAGAGCTGTCAAAACAATACAGACACCTTTCCATTTGTGCAGCAAGACTCCGGTGTTCAGCAATAGCTCTTTTCCTCTGGTTCTCTGCTTCTTCACCGAAATGCTCTTTTTCAGCTGCTTTGGAGACAAACATGTCATCCAGAGTATAATAGTCTCCATCTGTTTTCCCCATAAACTGAAAAACCAAAACAACAGTAGTAGAAGGTAGTAGTTAAAATTTTATTGTATTGGAGCATACTTAAGTCCTATGTAAGTTCTATGATAAAACGCTTACTTTTTTTAAAAAAGGAGAAGAAGAAAACATGATTAAAATTTAAACTTGATCTTCAAGAATCAATCCGTCATCATCATCGCTAAAGTTTACTGAGTAATTACTATATGCAATTCTAACAATGTGTTTTACACTCCTATGAAGAGGGAACCATTCTCATTTCCATTTAATAAATGAAGAAACTGAACCATAGAGAGCCATTTTCACTATAAAATTAGCATTATAGAACATAAAACATTTTCAACTATATCTAAAACATTTTCAACTATATCTCTAGGTATCTTCTCCATATCTCCCCTAACATAAACTGTACCAAGGGTGATCCTTTTAACACAAAAGCATCAAATTTTACTTATGTCCCTAATTAAAATCCTCCAAGAGCTCTGCACTGTGAACAAAATCAAGTTCAAACTCTGGTTTGGCGTACTAAATCATAGACACAGGAAGGCATAAAGGTTAAAAGCTTGACCTCTATAGTCAGAATGGCCTTGGTAAAATTCTACTTCCTGTCTTTGTTCTCTGTCTACGCGTTATTTCCTCATTTTACAATGGTTATAAGAATATTATCTATCTAATAGGTTTACCTCACTTAATGTTCACAATACATGCCTGGCACACAGTAAGGAATCATAAAAGTGAGCCACCATTACCATTACAAACCTCTGTGATCTGGAATTGATAACCTCTCCAGTCACATCTGATCACATCCCTACAAACTCCATGCTCTAGCCACTCCAATTTCAGTCTGCAAAGTCCTGCTGTGCTCAGGCTTTGGGCGAATCACTCTGTGACCAATGTTGCCACTGTACTCCTACTCATATTTCAATCTGAGGCTTAGACGTAGTTGTCACCTCCGTGTTAATACTTTCCTAGATCCTCTAAGCAACTCCAGTACTGTATGTACTCCCATCAGTCTTCTGACGACCACACTGTATCATAATTGCTCATTAACTTGTGGTTTTACTTCCCTTACACTCAGTTCTAAGTTCTACTTAGTCTACTAAGTACCAAAAAGAGAACCATCTTTTATCAACTACAAAGCAATTGCAAGGAACTCAGCAGGTATTTTTAAAAATATGAGCCTGGTCGGTGTGGTTCAGTGATTGAGTGTCAACCCATGAACCTGGAGGTCACCATTCCATTCCCTGTCAAAGCACATGCCCGGGTTTCAGGCTATATCCCCAGTAAGGGAGTGCAGGAGACAGCTGATCAATGATTCTCATCACTGATGTTTCTATTATATCTCTCCTACTCCCTTCCTCTCTCTGAAGTCAATAAAAACATATCTAAAAAAAAAGATTTGAAGAAAGCTGAAGTGGCTCTAGTCATATCAGAGAAAGTAGATTTCAAAGCAAACAGAATAAAGGGCATTTCATGGTGATAAAAGAGTCAAACTATCAAGATGACACAATAATCCTGAAGTGCATGAACCTATTAACGGTTTCAAAATATATGAAGCAAAATTTGATAGAACTGCAGGAGAAATAGAAAAATCCATAACTATAGATTAGAAATTGAAACACCACTGTTTCAAAAAATTTAATAGAACAAGTAGAAAATCACTAAGTATATTGAAGACTTAAATAAACTACTAACTTGAATAAACTATAAACCTGACATTGATAGAAATTCTATCCAACATCAACAGGATACACATTCAAGTGCACAAAGAACATTTACCAAGACTGATGACATTCTTGGCTGTAACACAGTCTCAATAAATTTAAAAGGATTCAAGTAACATAAATTATGTACACTGAACACAATGGAATTAAATTAGAATTTGTACCATAAAGATTTTTGGAAAAATGCCAACTATTTGGACACCAAATAGCATACTTCCGAATAGCCCATTGATCAACAACAACAACAAAAAGAAAACTAGGAAGTATTTTAAACTGGGAAGGAAAAAAAAAACAAACACATATGAGAATATATGGGACATTGCTAAAGTGGGATTCCCAGGGACAATTAAAGGACTAAACACCTATATTAGAAAACAAAAAAAGGCCTCAAATCAATTATGTCAACTTCTACCTTAAAAACAAGGAAAATGAAACACAATATAAACAGGAGAAAATTTCTAAAATGTCATTGAGAGAATCAGGTAAAACAATTATTAGTTAGGTATTTCCCAGAGAACATTAGCTTTCTTGTCCATACCAGGAATTTATTTTTATCTTTTTTTTTTTCCATATTAATCCTTGTATGTCTCTTTGTTCTTTCAGGTTTACCGATTTATATGAACTGCCCTAACTTACAAATTATTATTTTAACTTCAGACTATATCTCAACCATAACATACTGCAGTTCTGATATTTTTAATAACAATGATCAACTATGTGCTAGGTATTATCCCTTTGCACTCCGAACCATTCTGGACATTGGCTACCAGCTACTCGACGCTACTTTGCGAAACGTGCGTTGAATTAACTCAATTCCCCATAATCACTAATAAACTGCAATGTCCCCTGAGAGGGGACATCCGAGTGATATGCTAGAATTCCGATGTCCCCTGAGAGGGGACAGCGGAGTGCAAAGGGATAAAAACTATGAGTACTCGCCCATCCAAATATCCCTGCAACAGAGAATTTATCATTCTCCTTTGTATTGTCATACAAAGCTGAACTTGAGAGAGAATAAGTAACAAACCGTCACACAGCTATTAATGGATAGAGAGAGGAACCAAACATAGGTTTTCTGATGGTTTAGGCTCTACAGCAGTCGTTTTAAACCTGTGGGTCACAATCCACAGGTTGAGAACCGCTAGCAGGGTAGCCTAAGACCATCAGAATACACAGATATTTACATTATGATTCATAACAATAGCAATATTATAGTTATAAAGTAGCAACGAAAGTAATTTTATGGTTGGGGGTCACCACAACATGAGGAACTATACATCTATATATTAAAGGGTCTCGACATTAGAAATTAGAAAGGTTGAGAACCACTGTCTTAGAGGTTAGATCCAACCACTCTGTTTGACTGCCTGATGCTCCTAACGGCTCACCTTCCTGCCTGATTGCCCCTAATCCCTCTGCTTGCCTGCCTGATCACCCCTAACCACCTCTGCCTGCCATCCTGATCGCTCCTAACTGCTCAAGGAGGAGGGGAGGGGCGGCGGCCTGCCAGGGTGAGGGGCCATGGTCATTCTGATTGTTCTGCCATTTCAGTTGCTGGGCTTTTATTGTATAAGATATTCTTATCAGGCTATTAACCTTTTGAGCTCCCCAAAATATCATCACTAATTTTGAAATTTAAAAACATATATATCAATTCTTGATTCTGTGTACTATAAATCAATCAATCACACATTCCAGGAAAGTTGTCCTATCATCTATCTCTATGACCATACCCCTGATAAAACCTGAATAACTTTTTCTCAGCAGTTTAGTGTTATAACCACGTTGAAAGTTATAGAAATGTGGACACGTTTGAGAATTAAAAAGTCAACAATGCTAAGAGATAAAAGATTGTACTTGTTTTTAAAGTAATATTATTGCAAAATCTAAACAACAAGCAGTATTGAGAAAAACAGAAAATATCTTAATTTTCTATGCAAGTTAGTATAGTAGTGAAAAGGGAAATTTTGTCTTTGACTTCAAGTCTCAAGTATGTGATTCTGGACAGCAAATATTTATTTAATGCTCTTATATGCTAAGGACTCTAATGGATAGCTAAGTCACAATGGTAAGCAAAAGCAGACACAGTCCCAAAAATACAGAAACTACAGAGCAGTGGGAAGACAGACTTACTAAAGGGTTGCACAGTAGAAAAATCGAGTTAGAGCGGTGATGGCAATTTGAGATCCTAATAGAGGGAATGATATATGCAGAAAGATGAAAAAGGCTTTCCTGAAAGAATAATGATAAAGGTGAGATATATATGAATAGATAGAAGGTGGTATAGCAGAAACAGCATGTGCAATGTGTTTGTGGCAGCGGAAAACAGAGCATATTTGAGGAACTGAGTGAAAGTCAGCATGGCTGGAACAGAGGAAGCAAAGCAAAGAAAACAAGATTCAAATGAGGCTGGAGAGGAAGAGAGCAGATCATTCAAAGTCTTGTTAGGCCAGTAACAAGGATCTGGTCTTTAACCTTATAGCAACCAAATGCCATTTGAAATGTCTTAACATAGAGGCCAAAGGACCAGATATACATTGGGGAGGAGGGTGCAGTGAGTCTGCCTTTAGTGAGGTACAGTTAAGAAAGAACTAGAAAAAGATAAGAAATGCCAGCTAACCAGTTACCAGGCTCTTTTCATAGACCTGGTGTAGCAGTGGGAATGAAGAGAACAGAGTGATTAGGAGTAGGGGGAGGACATGATTGGTGACGGAATTGATGTGGAAAATGAGGGAAAGAGAGGCATCGCTGAAACATCTTAACTTTCTGACATCGGCTAGATAGTAGCACCATCTACTGATAAAGGAAAAAATTAGAAAATGAACAAGTTTCAGGAAAGGGATAAGACAAACTATTGAATATCTCTGAGCATCAGTTTTTGTTTATTAAGAGGGGTTAATATCAATGCTGTCAGATAATTATAAGCATTAATCTATATAAAGAGTCTGATATACCAAGACTTCAAAAAGCAGTAGTTAATATTCTCTTTAGAGTAGTATTCTCAACTGGCGGGGAGGGAGAGCATCTGGAAATACCTGGAGACATTTTTAGTCGACACAACATGGGGTGGATGTGGATGCTACTGGTAACTATTGGGTAGAAGCCAGGGATGCTGCTAAACATTCTACAATAGACAGAGTCCTCCCACAACAGTTAGTCAGCCCAAAATACCCATAATGTCACAGCTGACAAACTCTGTCCCAGAAGGATTATGATCACATTATCACAGCAAGGAAAGTTCTTTTGTATTCATTACAAAAGAACCAGTTTTGGCCCTATTCTGATATTTAAATTAAAAAAAAATCTGAATTATAACTGGCATCTTATTAAAAAAAATAAATAAATAACATGATGCTAAGAAAAATTAGCCAAGCAGGTGTGGCTCAATGGTTGAGTGTCGATCCAGGAATCAAGAGATCAGGTTCGGCCGAAACCGGTTTGGCTCAATGGTAGAGCGTCGGTCTGAGGACTGAAAGGTCCCAGGTTCGATTCCAGGCAGGGGCATGTACATTGGTTGCGGACACATCCCTGGTAGGGGTGTGCAAGAGGCAGCTGGTCGATGTTTCTCTCTCATTGAGGTTTCTAGCTCTCTATCTCTCTCCCTTCCTCTCTGTAAAAAATCAATAAAATATATTTAAAAAAAAAAAAAAAAAAAAGAGATCAGGTTCGATTCCCAGTCAGGGCACATACTTGGATTGCAGGCTCAATCCCCAAAAGGAGGCATGCGGGAGGCAACCAATTGATGATGTTTCTCTCTCATCAATGTTTCTCTTTATCTCTCTCCCTGAAATTCAATAAAAACATATTTTTAAAAAATTATATGAAAATTGAAAGCTTTTTATTTTTTAGCATTATGCAGAACAATGATTTGTAACAAATCTAATTAAGGAATATTGCATTATTACACAAAGACTGCCAACAATGAAATAGAAATTGTAGTCTAATTCTTACAAAAGCACTTCAACTTTTATAAGATTTACTCAAAATTTTTATCAAAACTGAAACTGTCCTTCTAATTCCAACCCCTCAAATTCTGAGAATAGAATGGTTATAAGATAATTGAAGCAACGAAAGAAGATGACAATTTTGATATTCCTTACTTTTGTGTAATCATGCTTTCAAGAAAGATGTGTCACTTAATCTCTCAAGATTTGTTATCATTTAAATTAATTGAAAATGAAAAAATAAAGGATTTAGGTTATGAAAATATGTACTTTGTAAATTTTAAAGACTACTTCCATAAGAAAATATATCAAGCCTCGAATGACACGAATTCAGAAAAATAAAACTATCAATAGAAATACAAGCCATCTTTTATTAGAAAGTAAAATCTTGTTTTCTCACAGTTAAGATAATACCCTAATTACTTTAAGTCTCTCTTCCTTTTCTTGTACCTTCCATTTTCCTTCCCTCCAGCCCACTTTTACCGCACTATCAGCACAAAAAGTATGAAATTACTGCCCACAGTGCAAACAAAACTAACGGGGAAAGATGTATATAGATCTCACGAAGATGTGCCCAAGTTTACGTTGCCACGGAAACACTGACGTCTTAGATTTTAAATGGAAGAATTTATATTTAAAGAATGTTGGAGTCAGTAGAATGTATTTTAAGAAAGAGCAAAGCACATACCACTTATCCCCAAATACCAACAACTGACACATGGAAATTGTACAAAAACAATTAGAGTTAGGCAACAATCAACAACCATTTATTAACCTGAGTCACTTGAAAGGCAGAACTGTTTAATGAAAAAAAAAGCTGACCATGGAGTTAATAGTTGAGGCTTATGGTGCCAGCTTTTGCAAATCATTAGTTATGGGAACTTGGAAAAGTTACTTAGCTTTGCATAAGCCATTTCATTACCTCAGAGTCTTAGTTTCACCCTCAGGGAAATTTTGTGAAAGATTAAGCAAGTCCCTTTCTAGAACTGAATATTCTTTAGTCTTATGATATCTTTCTTTACACATTCAATTTCCAGATCCTATACAATATCTAGTACTTTCTCCAAAATAAATAGAAAATTATCCTCCTGACTAACTGTAAGATCCCACACAATTCTTGGTAATGGAAAGAATGACCATTTCTATTTAAACCCAAGTTTGCATTACTCCCTCCCACAGACACATACAGTACACACTCAGTCTAGTTTTCATTAAGTTACTTTTTTTCACCAGGTAATATGTTCAATCTTTTTTTTTTTTTAAAGTCTGAAAAGATACAGTACAAAGTCTCCCTCATGTCCTTTAAATACCTAGTTCAAACTTCTACAAACTTCACACTTCACAAAGTAAGTTTAAACTTCACAAAGTAAGCACAGGTATCAGAAAACAGGGATGAGCAAATTTTTCTGTAAAGGACCAGATAGTAAATATTATCAGCTTTGTCCGCTATTAAAGTCTCTGTCACAGTTATTCAACCTGGCCATTATATAGTGTAAACAAACACAGACTATGTATAAACAAATGTGCATAGTTGTATTACAATAATACTTTATTTGCAAATATAGGCAATGAACTGAATTTTTCCAGTGGGGTCAAACCCTGTTATAGAGCTAAGTTTGAATATTTCTCTATTTTTTAATCCTCACCAGAGGATATGTTTTTACTAAATTTTTTTAAGAGAGAGGAAGAGAGAGAGAAAAAGAAATATTGATGTGATAGAGAAACACCAATGGGTTTCCTTCCATACCCACCCTTACATGGGGAGTGAACCCACAACCTAAGCATGGGCCCTGGCTGTAAATCAAACCAGAAATGTCTTGGTGTATGGGACGGTGCTCCAACCAATTGAGAAGCCCAGCCAGGGTTATGCTTCCCTTTTACATGAGAATTTTAATGGCAGTGTTTGGTAATTATTATAATAGAAGAAACTGCAACAAAAAAAACACTACTTGAAACAAAAATTTATCCTACTACCCATAATTATGTATTAATATACATTTTCATGTAAATATAAAATTTTCATATAGACAGACAAGCTTATTCCAAGATGTCTTCTCTATAATCTATAATATATTACACCACTCCTCTAGGCATACTTATGAAGAATTGGAGGAAAAGTAAGATAAAACAGGCTAGCTGCACACTATCAACTTAAAATTCTGGCCTAAAGCTTTCCCTTACAATGGTAGATCAAATATATAACTAAAATTTCCAAGGAATATATTAAAAAACTAAATCAGAGTTTATTAATTAAAAACAAACTAAATCCTAAATATATATTTCCCAATCAAATCAATTCCAAAATTCATGTCCCTTATATGTCTTACACAGGTTTTAATGTATGAAATAAGTAAAGATTAGAAAGAACCAGCTCTGCCTAAAATACAGATCATTACTGAGTAACCAGCTTCTCAAAATTCAAAGGTATCCTAGGAATATATCTTACCTTAGATGCCATCCTCATAAAAAGTCTGTTCTGATTTTCTGCTGTTCCCATCTTCTCATTCTTGACTAAATCGTTTAGACTTAAATTATCATCATCATGAAAGTATCTGACCCTTTCTTTTTCCTCATGGGTTGAAGCCTATGACAAAATAAACATTCTTAACTTAGTGAAAACATGAGTTTCTCAAGTATTTTAATGAATTATCTATAAATCTGATATTAAATGTACAAATCCCAGATTATGTCTCATAATCTTTCCTTTCAGTTAATCCCTAGTCTATTTGCCTCCATGTGGGAGAATTTCCATTAGAAAAATAATCCATACTTTTCAGCTCCTTTCCTTTCTTCTTCCCTAGGAATGGAGGCATGACCTTCTCTGATTTCTGAGTTTGAGGGAAAAGGCAGAATTGTTTTATCCCTTCTCTCCTCTCTGCTCTTCTTCTCCCTGTAGTAGCCACTCCCTACCCTGTGAAGGAAAGCCTGCTGTTATACAGATTTCCAGTAAGCATATCTAAAACAGAGATAAAGTATTAGCAAACCCACTTCAAACAGCTCTATCAGAAACAGCTGGTATTCTGATTCGTATCTGAATCAATCCTGAGTTTTTCCTATCATTTGTTTCTATACTTACATGTGAAAAATAAAAGTGATATTCATTTTCTCCAAAATCTCTCTCCCCGATATTAGTTTCACATTCCTTTATACAAATAAAACCTGCTCCTTAACTTCTTTGAAATCTTGGAACCACATTTCCAGCATTTTCCCCCAACTATTCCTGTCTTCACCAGCTTAAATCTCATGTCCATGACTTCAGTCACTCTCTAGCTCCAGAGCCTTAATTTCTGGCTCTGATATCCTTTCATTATACCCAAAGAGCGAACCTCAGTTGTGAATGAGTATGTCTACCCTATTTATTTCTATACCTAGATTGCCTGGTAGCAGGCAACTAAAAAAGAGCCCTTGATGCTATCTGGCAATGTATCTGTGAACCCCTAGCCATTTCAATATAATTCAAACCTTGATTATTCTCCTGCCACATACCCCTGCTAACCCCTAGACCTCACATTTCATTAGATATTCCAGGCCTATTTGCTGAATGAGTCCATTACTATCTTTAGCAACATAGGCACTCAACAAGCAAATATAAACACCTGACAGAAAAATTCCGAATGAACTCCGAAAATTCCGAATCTTCTGTGGACCTCTCACCACTTGTATAATCTTACAAATTTAAAACAAAAAACCTAGTTTGAGAAAACCAGATACATTGCTTTTGGCATCTCAAGAGCCTCAATGTAGTAATAAAAACTAATTGCTAAAGGTGAAAGTTGGAAAAGAAAATTAGGTTTATAAAGGATCACAGCTACTAATTAATACATTATTGTACATGGATATCCCACCACCAGGTCTCAAATTAGCTAATACAGATAACAGGTCTGAGAGACCAAGGTTTTCCCTAAAAGCTAGGGTAAGTATATAAAAAGAAGCTAGAAACAATGTCAAAGCAATGTACACTAAAGTTAAAATTGCCTTAAACAGTCAATGCTCACCAGTTATTTGAAAACTGTAGTTGAATTAGATTCCATTTTATAAAAGGTAAAGGGATTTAAGTAAGAATAAGAGTAAGAACATAATTTATTGCCTTCTAATATTTGCATTATACAGTGATATTTCATAAAATATTTTGAAGTACATAGTCTGAAGCAAAGAAAGCCCCAAGGGGAAAAAAGAAACTCTGAATTTTAAAAAGTATCTGGTACATACCATCTGTCTCTTCCTTCTTCCTCCTTTAGATTCCAGAGGTCTCTCTGGTGTGTTCACAGGCCAAACTCTCCCAGACTGATCTGTTCTGACAAGAATCACTTCTTGCTGGTCTTCATTCTACAGGAAAATTTAGAGATAACTTTCAAAATTATTGCAAAGAGTGTTGATGTTTATATTTAATAACAACAAGGATGTAAAAGTATAAAAATGATTTTAGTTTTCACATAATATTATGGATTATCTTGAATCTCCTGGACTTTCATTGCCCACTATAAGGTAAAATGACCATAATCTTTATAGGAAAAAGGTGGGGGGAAATATTCAAAGTTTATTTTACTGTTTTTTTTAAATAATCATAGAAGTGAACTTCAAATAAAGTTTTCATCTAGACAATATTAAGAGATGGCAGTTTTAAACCTTATTTTCCTGGTTCTGCCTTACCTCTCTGACCCATTCATTCATTTTTTAAAAGTACTTACTTTATGTAGTAACTAAAGAAATACAGACCCTGCCTACAAACTTATAGCCTTTTGACAGACTTATTCTCTACATGAATTATCAATATAAAAAAAGTAAATTTCACTTCCCGTTCCATTTCAAGCTACTATACAATGAGGATGATTCCAGGGCTCCTTGGTTTCCAGCCTTCAAGCATGAAACCTAATTATCACTTATACCGTCAAAAAAAATCATGTTGAACACAAATATAAGTATGCCATTTTTGTTAAAAACCCTGCAAAGACCCCGTATCACCAAGGAAATCAAGACCACTCAAAGTGTGGTCCACTGACCAGTGCCAATCTGAGAATTACCAGCCAGAAAAAATTAAACACAAAAATGAATGTTTAAAATCTTTTCAACAATCTTAAAGAGTAATCTTATGTTGGTCTAATATAAATAAAATGTGGACATATATTTTATAACTTTATTTAGTTTTCTAAAATTTTGTTTGACAAAACAGACCTCGATAAACTTGAAAATTTAAAAATCACAAAACATCTGATCCTGCACCACAGTTCTGGCAAGCACTGTACTAGATAATGGAATAAAGGCCAAGCACCTTAATATGGTTTACTAGAGGCCCATTGTACAAGATTCATGCGGGGGGGGGGGGGGGGGGGGATAGGAGGGTCCCTCAGCCCAGTCTGCACCTTCTCCAATCCAGGACCAGCAATTGGACATCCTTCTCATAATCTGAGACCACTGGCTCCTGCCTGCCTGATCGCCCCTAACTGTTCCCGGCTCCCCCACCCCCCCGTCAGCCTCGTTGCCCCCAAATGCCCTCTCTGCTGTCCTGGTTGCCCCAAACTGCCCCCCCCCCCCCAGCCTGGTGACCCCTTATTGCCCCCCTGCCAGCCTGGTCGCCTCCAATTGCCCCCCTGCTGGCCTGGTCACCCCGAACTGCCCCTCTTTGCCAGGCTGATTGCCCCTCATTGGCCTCCCTGCTAGCCTGGCCCACACAGCCTGCTGTTCAGTCATTTGGTCGTCCCTCATTAACCCCCCTGCTGGCCTGGTCAGCCCCTGAAGCCTGCTGTTTAGTCTTTTGGTTGTCCCTCACTAACCCTCTTGCCAATCTGGTCGCCCCACGCAGCCTACACTCAGTTGTTTGGTTGTACCTCACTAACCACCCCACCCTTGCTGGCCTTGTTGTTTGGTCCTTACTGTGACAGCATCCCGGACAATTTGAATATTCCTCTATTATTAGTATAAATAGGCCTTCAAAGTCAAATACTAAGACCCTCTTCAAATTCACTTTTTCTCTAGTTCTTCATAGTACTTTTTGTTAACTTGTTGTACATTTTACTTCCTAAATAAATTTAGGCATACTTATATTGCTAGAACATAAGTCTTTTAAGTAATTATCTGTTTACAATTGCATGTCGCTGCAACTTTTCTAGGCCAAAGACCAAGCAATATTACTACCTGGTTATCTGCAGTACCTGGCAAAGTGAGAAAAAACAGTAGGGAGTAAACAAATGCTTGGGAATTGGAATTATCTGCCTCAGACAGATTGATTATGCTCCCAAAGATACCAGATATTTTTCCTAGTTAAAAACAAACCAAGATAAATTTTTCCTGATAGAAGTTAAAATCCTATATAACAAAGAACTAATATGCTAATTAGACTGGATGATGGAACAACCTTCCTGAAGGACCAGTGAGCGGGGAGTGGAGCCAGTGAGCCTACGCTGCCAGGCCTGCCATGTGGTCCTGGTGCCCCTGCTTCCGCAGAGGCCGCAGGAGAGGCAGCCGCACAGTCCTGGTCCCAGCACCGCCCCTTCTGCAGAGGTGATGGGAGAGGGGGTGACGCAGTCCTGGAGCCTCCACAGAGGCAGGATAGGATGCAATTGCTGTGCCTCAACCTCCCAGAGCCCCTCCCCTGACCCGCCCAGCCCTCAATCTCCCCTGCCAAGTGTAGGGGGCACAGGACTAAGGAGCCTGGCTTCTGGTTGAGAGAAGGGGTCCTGGACTGAGAGAGCCCTGGAATGTGACAGAGATGTCTGAGCGCAGGCTTAGTCCTGATCCCTGGGAGCATCGGGCCTAAGCCACATGGACCTCCCCCAAGGACTCCTGGAATGTGAGGGTGCAGGCTGGGCTAGGGGAATCCCCCACCCCCCACCCCCTGTGCATAAATTTCGTGCACCAGGCCTCTAGTAATTACATAATTTCTATTTTGAGCCTAGGCTTCTCCCAACTACATATATTCACCTGCCCATTTGACATTTTTTTCTTGTTGCACATTAAAAGATATCTAAACTCAGTATATCAAAAATAGAACTTCTAATCCTCCTTTCTTCCACATTTCAAATAATGGCCACTGTGTTCTTCCAGCTGCTCAGACTAAAATCTGTGGAGTCCACTGTGCCTTCTCTCTTTATCTCATACTCCCCCTTCCACCAAATGCATCATAAATCCTGTCAGCTCTCCTTTCAAAATATATACAGAAAACATTTACACATATGCAAAAATCTTATCACCTCTAGCAACCTTCTCAGCTACTATCTTGGTCAAAGACAGTATAATTTATGTGTATTATTGCAGAAGTGTAACTAGATCCAATTTCTGCCCTTATTCTCCTTCCATTTATTTTTAACAAAGAAGCCAAGTTGGTCCTGTCAAAATATATTATTTGCTCAAAACCCTTAATAGCTTTCATTTCACCTAGAATAAAAGGTCATTTACTTACTCTGACTTTCAAGTTTAACATGAACTGGCCTCCCATAGTCCCTCTGATTTAGATATCCTACTTCACTCTCATTCAATTAACTCCAACAATACTGGTCTCCCTGCTGTTCTTCCTACACATCAGACACATTACCACCTTTGGACCTTTAAAAATTCCTTATGCCCAAAATGTTATTCACTCAAATACAGAGATTCACTCTTCACTTAAGTCTGGATGTCACTTTTCAAATGAACTTAGTCTGTATACCCCAAGCTTAGTCAGCACACTAGGTACTCAAGATCCCCACTACTTTTCCCTGGGATGTATAACTTTCTATATGCTAACTTATTATTTTTATTGTTTATTGTCTCTCTCTCCCTATCCGCATGAAACTACATGCAGGCAGGTGTTTTTATCTGTTTTGTTCACTTATAGCTGGATGAATGAATCATGGAACAAAATAATTTGTTTTACATAAAATGAACACCAAACTTATGTCTCTCACTATATAGGGGAAGAACTTAAAAACCAGTCTGACTTGCACAAAATCAAACAGTCGTAAATGACAGAGTCCACCATAAAACCAGGTCTCATTGGCCGAGCCTTTTGTCCATAAGGCACACTACTGAAATGTAAGACAATTCATATGAAAATAAATTTTAAAAACAAGCACACACACACACACACACACACACACGTTCGAAACACAGACACAGAGATACATTTTATATTAAAACTAGTGGCTTGGGTATAATTCATGCACATTAAAAGGGAATTAGAGGAACTACTTTGATATTGCTATTTGCCCTTTCTCTATAATAGAAGTGTCAGAGATGAAAGAAAATTAGTAAAATGTATATAAAAATCTCCCTCCTGTCAAGAGTTTGGAGCGCACCGGGAACCAGAGTCAAGTCCCTACCCACCCGCACATGCCTCAAAATCGCATGAGACCCAGACCCACCTGGCCCTACCACCATCAAACCCACCACGCAGTGGGCACAACCTCAAGTCCCCCAGCCAGTCGGGGGGCGCAGCTTCAGGTCCCGAGTCAAGCCCCACCAGGTGAGGGCCTGGGGCGAAGGGCACGCCTTGAGGTCATCAGGGGGTGGGGGGCATGCCTTGAGGTCCCCCATCAAGCCCTACTAGGCAGGAGGTACAGCCTGAGGTCCCCAGTCCCACCCCACCCCAGCGCCACGCAGCCTCAGGTCCCTGCTGATAGCTCGTTATGGGAACTCCGTCTCCACTGTAGGCGCAGCCATCTTGTGATGACATGAGGGTTAATGTGGATATTACCTTTTATTATATAAGATATTACCACTGCCAAATAGTATTATACAAAATAATCATATACCTACAAACCTAACCTTTAATACTTACCTCTATCCCAGATTTTTTTGATGATATAGTTTCTTTGAATTTATTTGCCTTTTCAAGTTGGGCTTTAAGTTGCTCAGCTAATTCCTTCAAACAGAAAAACAAGAAAAAATACATGTGAATATATAGTTAAATCCCTCATTGTGTCATATTTCAATGTATACAACAGAAAGAAAAACATCATAGTAAACAGCTATGTAGCCATCAACAAACACACAGTTACCAAACCATAGCCCAGTACATTACTTCTAAACAAATCATTCTCAGTGACAAGCTTCTCAAATACCTGCAGCACTTATTTATGCTTTGAAAATAAATAATTATAAGAACATATATTTTAGGAACATATATTATAAGAAGATAAAGGAAATACATAACTTCAAGAATGACATTTTTATGGTTTCTTAGATATTATCAACTTCCAATCCTCAAACTCTCAGCTGTTTGTAAAAAGGGAGACATTACATGACTTAAAATATTACTTTATTGTTGATAAGTAACTTAGATAAAAACTCTGAATATATTTATTTTACTCTAAAAAGTATATAGGAATTTATAAAAAAAAAAAAAAACAAAAAAAAAACTAAAGGCCCGGTGCATGAATTTGTGCATGGGTGGGATCCCTCAGTGTGGCCAGCAATCGAGGCCTATAGGAGGGCCAGCCGGCTTGGGAAAGGGATCCCCGGAGGTTGGTCAGCCAGCCCCCCCCTTCCCAATCAGGACCTATCATGGGCAAAGGGGTGGGATCATGGGAGGTTGGCTGGCCAGGGGGAAGGGCTGTGGGAGGTTGGCCAGCTGGCCCCCCTGATCGGAGCCAATGGAGGAACTGGCTGGCCAGGCGGAGGGCCGCAGAGGTTGGCTGTGGGAGTGGACTGACCACCAGGGGGCAGCTCCTGCATTGAGTGTCTGCTCCCTGGTGGCCAGTGCACATCACAGCGACTGGTCAACCAGTCATTCCAGTTGTCAGTCATAATGGCTACTTAGGCTTTTATATATGTAGATAGCTGACATACAAAGCAAAAAAATCACAAAGAAATAAAATCATATGACAAGCAAAAAATAAAACTCTGCTGCAGTTGTTCCATACACACAGGAACAATACCTTTAGCATGCTAATCTCCTAACTTGGTGACCTCTCCTTCATTATTTTAACTGATTCTTTGTGCTTTCAGAACTCAAACTTTATTTTTTTGCTATTATTATTATTGGTTTGTCTCTTTTCAATTTCTGGTAAAGTTCTGAGTTGAAGTTCAGTGTTACCAAGGACCAGATTCAAAGTGGGAAAGCAGCATACATAAGATATGCCTTTTATCAGACATACAACTGAATAAAAATGTGAGTCTTGTTTGGCCACGTTTACTTCTACTACAGAAGCTGAAATGATAGTATAACAACGACATATTTTAGGAAAGATAGGAATATGAAGGAAATACATAACCACAGACACTATATTTGTGTTTGAGATGATTACATATATATGACCATGAGGGAATCTACTCTGTCAAGACATAAAAAGCTCCCGACTTTGCTAATCTGCCATATGCAATATAACATGTATTAGTATAACAGAAATGTGGCGAAATAATATAGATGATAGATCGATATATCAATAGATAGATGGATGCAGCTCTTACCAAATCACCCCTATTTCTATTCCATCTTGAGGTAAATGAGTCTTAAATCATAACATTACAGGAGTTAAATGAGCTAACCTATACAGAGTAACTAAAACACTATTAGGCGTAAGCACATTGCCTTAAAATTTGAATAAACTAATTAACCATCCTCTTGAAGAGTTTATATTTTAGGTTCCTATGTAAAAAACTATTAAGAAAGTAATACATATCTTAATAATGTATGACTAAAAAAGAGGGAAAAGTCAGTAATGTCTTTATCTCCCTCAGATCTGAGCTCAGTAAGTTAGAAATGCAAGAAATAAAGTACATAGCAAAGTAGAAAATAAATTAAAAAGCATTTAGTTCCCTAAGAGCTTAAATTTCAGAAACCTGACAGAGGAAAGTAGGTAATTTATTTAGAAGAAGACAAACAGTACTGTTTTTAGAAGTGTTCAATTTCTTTAAAGAATCAATAAGCATGCCGAAGCTGGTTTGGCTCAGTGGATAGAGAGTCAGCCTGCAGACTCAAAGGTCCCAGGTTCGATTCTGGTCAAGAGCACGTACCTTGGTTGTGGGCACATCCCCAGTAGTGGGCATGCAGGAGGCAGCTGATCAATGTTTCTCTCTCATCAATGTTTCTAACTCTCTGTCTCTCTCCCTTCCTCTCTGTAGGGGATCAATGAAATGTATTTTAAAAAAGAATCAATAGGCAGCAATTACCCTCAAAATGTGCTATGTCCACATTTTTAAGGAAAATTCCAAAATTATTCATCAGAAATTAAATATTTAATTACTGTTCTCCAAAAGAACCACATATAAGTCTTACCATATTTCCCATCATCTCTGCCTTGATAATCTTGGCTCCCAACTTGTTCTTCTCATCAACACTCAGGATGTGGACGGACTCATCCTCGAAGTGGCTTCTGTTTGAACAGGGCAGATTTAGAGCATATGACATATTAAGTACACTGCAAATAACAGCATCAAGACTCAAATGTCACTTTAATTGACCTCACCAAAGTTTCAACCAGTATGTCATCATGTATGATACACACACACACACACACACACACACACACATATATATATATATATAAACATAATGTCACACTAAAAATGAATAGTTTAAGGCAGTGGTTGCCAACAGGTGGTCCGCGGACTACTGGTGGTCCATGAAGTCCAAAAGGTTGGCAAACACTGGTTTAAGGTTCTGTGTTACACTGCCATGACAGCCTATGGCAGTTATAATAATAACTGAACTAAGTCCCACTAACAATGATGTAAAATAATATAGAGGTCAACTATTCTTCATTATTTGTTATTCCTATACTCATTCTAAAACTAGGAAACAAACAAAAATTAATACAAACACTAGAATCAGGCCATAATTCTACACATCTGAAGAAACTTTTCATTCAATGTGATATTATTAATAACCCAAGGACATGACATATTTAACTCATTGAAAGAATAAAAACAATGATAATGTGCTCTTTTGCAAAGTTAACCCAGAACTAGTCACACAACCTAAACTAATTTGCAAATAATATTATGTATGAAATTATACTAAGGAAGCTTCACAGAAGAAAGAGAAATTTCAAGCCAATGTCAGATTCCTGGCATATGCTGTTGCCCGGGCTTACTACCTTAAGAAAGATTTGAACTATAATGCAGGAAGGGTAAGCCCAGGAAGAGTCTAACTCCTCAATAAAGGATACATAGCTAAGAGTATAAGAGTTCCCAAGCAGCTAAAGAGAGAGCTGTAGGGAGTTCCCCTGAAGTATTGAGCTAGAATCTCACAGCCAAGAAAAGAATCATCCAAAAGGGTTAGAGGAACAATGCCTGGTCACGCTAGCCAGACTAGGAAAAACTCACAATTCACAAAGCACAAGGTAAAGTATTAAGAGAAGGGTTTTGCTTCATTGGTGGAAAATAAGCCCTAGAATATGATGCATTGGGCTCACCTCACAAATGTTAAAACAAGAATCAAACTGTTTCCAATTAACTTAACGAGGTCACCAAACAAAGCTCAACAATATTTATAGAAATGCAAAAATAATCTGCACTCAATAAAATAAAATTCATAATATCTCTCATCACTGATATTTCCATTTCTCTCCCTATCCTTCCCTCTCTGAAATCAATAAAAATATGTAAAAAAAAAAAAAAAAAACAAAAAAAACAGAAAACTAAGAGTGCATGATATATGATACCATGTGTATAAGACTTCAGAAAATGCAAACAAGAATTTAATGAAATAAAGAAGATGAATGGTTGCCTAAGGGGGTTGGGAGGTATAGGGAGAAAGGGATTACAAAAGGGTACCGAGACACCTTCATTAGAATATACATATTTCAAAATTCACCAAATTGTACACTTTATAGTATATATGTCAATTATACCTCAGTAAAGTTGTTTTTAAAAACCCTCCAAGGGCTGTGATAACAAATTGAAAAAGCAGAAAAATATCTGTCATAAATCTCAAATATAAAGAGCATTACTAGTTTTCCCAAATTCCTAGATTTCATCATACTCTACTGAAATTATCCTGAATCTTCAACATATACTCTGAACAAGTAGTAGAAAAGACTTAAAGTTAAAACTTGACTTAACAACTATATATAAAAATTATTCCTTTGGGGCAAAAAATAAAATATTATAATTGACAACACTTGAGGTTTTGTGTTTTTTTAAAGGTACAATCCCTGCAGAAATTCTGTGAGCCATTTCTTCTCATAGTGGTGAAAGGAAAGGCAATACTCTGGTGCTTAGACTAAGAAATCTAAAATACTTCACATAAAGCAACATTAGAAAGTGACGTATTTTTGTTCCCCTGAAGTTCTTTCAGTCTACATTTCAAAAAGCAATTAAAACAAACAGCAGGTGCACTACATTGTCTAAGCAGGAGAACTTCATCACTTTTTATATGCTTCTGTGGATTGAGGTACTGTTTGTATTATTAGTTGTACTTTTCTTGTACGGAAAAAGGTTTTCAATCACTTTTTTAAATTAAATTCTGAGGTACATGTTATTTCTTTTGTATTGTGAATGTAATTTATTTGCATTTCAAGCAACCCAATCATATTTCAATAACATTTTTGACTTTCTTATAAACACTTTTCTCAACTTGTACTCTTTCCCATTCAATTAATTTTCCAAAATTCTCTGCTTTGAAAATTTACTATTGCTGTCCTTTATGAAATTTGAAATTTTTGCATGTATGTGTAATAGAAAACAAATTAAATGACAACAGTCATGCCCTTTCTAAAGAGTATCGGTGTAACTATTCCCCCATGATGTCAGCTTGCTCCTGCTGTAACTGCCTACCTTCATGAGAAACTTCCTGAATATTTTTCCTTCTTTCTCCTGCCTTTATTCATTGCAAAGTATTTAAGTACCTGGCCAGGTATTTTGTTTTGTTTTTCCCCTACAAAGTTATGTTCTAGTTCACTAATTTTCATCTCAATACTAGCCAACTGAGAAAATTTAAAAATGGAGAAAAAATAAAATGAGTAAGGAAGTGGTTTCTCCCAATATTTTTCTAATCCTTTCTGTTAATCCAGTAGATTCTCACATAATATAGACACGGTATGTATAGGACTTTTTAATGATTTGTTATTTCAAAAACAAGCCATCCTGCAAACAAGTTTAAGTTTGATAAGACCAGAAGAATGAAGGCCAAAAGACATCCAACTGTCCATTTCCTTTTGAAGACAAAGATTTTAGGATGTTAATAAACTATATCAAATGTGAAGATATTCATGCCTATTAATAGATATGGGTCAAAATAGAAGTATAAATACCTAAACACAGATGAGTAAATTCTAAGAGTTCCTAATACAAGCTTTTTGTGAAGCACTAAAAGCTTTTTTTTAAAAATACTAATCATTATCTTGCACCATCATCCTTTCAAGAAATGGGAAATCCTTCTTAGTCCGATGAGAAAAGAAGTTCTGCAGTCAGATTCACATGGATTTTGCCATTTACTAGCTTTATGATCAGGCATGTGTCTTAACCTCTCAGAGGCTATCGATTGAGAAAATGATTAATATTTACCTTCACATAATTGGAACTAAATGTAATAATGTATACATTATGGTGATTGCAGTAATATAATTACAGAAATATATATAACAGCAGGGGAAAAATTGTAAATTTATCTAATTTAAGTTCCAAGGGACATCTCGGATACAAAAATAACCTACCCTTCAGGCCAGATGTTGGTTTTTTTTTTTCCAAGTTTGATTGAGTAAAAGAAACAAACAGTCCAAACACAGCACTTAAACTGGTGCTCAAGAATGGTTAATTCCCTTTGCCAATGAAAGCCAAATACTGAGTCAAAGAGGAATCCTCCAATCAGTTCCTGGTCCATCATGCTTCAAATCCAATGAGAAGTCCTTTCAAGAACAGCTTAACAAAGAATGTCTACAGCTGGTGCACAGATCCATAACCAAATCCTTTCAAGGGGCCACAGAACGAAAAGCTTAATCCCTGAGTCGAGCTCCTCCTCTCCTCCAATCACTCCTCTGGTTCATGACCGCTTGTCTCTCAGCCACAGCCTCCTCACCAGAGTATCAGCCTTAAATCTGTTCCATTTCCCAAACTAACCTTCTAAAATCCAAATCTGAGAGATACTTCTTCCCTGTCACTATAGGATACTGCCCAATTCATAAACATGCTTCTGGAGCCATTTATAGGATAAACAGGTAATATTTGCAACATCTGCTTACCATTTTCCTCTCATTCAATAGAGAGGCCAATATGTGCTAAGCATTCTAACAGGATTTAAAGATGCAAAGACTAAAAAGAGTTATACCCTCCTCTCAGGGAGCTACTGCATCCAAAATACTATTTGCAAATCCTGAACTATATACCATGCCATCTCTGTCCATATGTCCCCATCCTCCCACCCCTATGCTGGTTGCCCTTCCCCACTTACTGCCTAAGGGGCTTTCCTTCAAGAACTCACTACCTTTCCCTACACAACCATCTGGGACTCTAATCCTCCTAAGCTTATCCCAAAAGAGTCAATCAATCCTCCTTTTACGTAAATACTATAGCTGTTAACTACCTATACTTGTAAGTATCTTTGCATTTATAATATGTATCTCTTAGCAACTGCAAACTGGAGTAGTCTAGCCTCTTGAGAACCTGGAGTAAAGCCTGGACAATTACACACGCACACAACCTTCGACATTCTCTATCCCTGCCACGTTAATAAAGTCAGCACAGCTAGATTCCTCCTTTGGTTCCTGACAGCGAAGCTCTGACTTGAACCAGAGCCATCTGACTGGCCTTCTATCAGTCCAGATTCTGCCAGCTTACTCCCACTAAAGCAACACTGTGCTTTAAACCCACAGCTTCACGCACAGAACTCCAAACAAAAGGAATCCAAAGAAGACCACACCAAGACAAATCATAATTAAAATTCCAAGAGCAAAAGACAAAGAGAGAATATTAAAAGAAGCAAGAGCAAAGAAGGTAGTTACCTATAAAGGAGCACCTATATGATTGTCAGCTGATTTCTCAACAGAAACCATGCAGGCCAGACGGGAATGGCAAGAAATATGCAAGGTGATGAATAGTAAGAACCTACAGCCAAAGATAATCTATCCAGCAAAGCTATCACTCAGAATCGAAGGTCAGATAGAGCTTCACTAATAAAAAAAAAGCTAAAGAAGTTCATCAACACCAAACCAGAATTATATGAATTGCTGAAGGGGGTTCTTTCAGAAGAGAAAGTAAACAAAGATAAAAATTATGAACAACAAATACGTAACTATCAACAAGCGAATCCAAAAACCAAGGAAATTAAAAAAAATCTGATGAACAATATTAATTGTTGAATATAATAGAATCAGAGGTATGGAAGGGGAGTGAATTGACGATTCTTGGGGAAAAGGGGAGAGGGGATGTGGGAAGAGACTGAACATAAACTGTGCACCTATGGATGAGGACAATGGGGAGTGGGGAAAGGACAGAGGGTGGGGTGGGAACCTGGTGGAGGAGAGCAATGGTAGGGGGGGAACATTTGTAATAATATGAACAATAAAAATTCATTAAAAATAAATAAATAAATAAAATAAAAATAAACCCACAGCTTCAGATGGAGCCATTAACAAAAACGACTTACCACTTATGACCCTGATCACAATGCTTAAACCTACTACTGCCAACACTGAATTCTGTTATTGCCTAAAACCTCTTCCTTCAGTGTCACATTCATTTGGTGGTATTTTTAAACATATTTTGATGATCATTCGAGTATAATTAAGTCACTATCCTTGGATATTCATTTTTCTATTTATGGTTATCTCCTACAAGCCTACCACTATGCTAAATCAAGTTTTCCTACATCTGATTACACTCTACCTAGGTTTCCTATTCTACTAACCCAGCCCTATATGTAAGCATAATATGTATAAGAATAATAAAACCAGTAAATACCTATTTCCCTAATTATTACAGATACAACTGCTATCTTAGTTATATTTCTCTCTGAAAACTCTAACATTCATATTAAAACCTGTCAGGTATCAAAAGTGGGTTATTTTTTTTCTCTTCAAAACCACCACCATACAGTCACGCTTCCCTGTGCAGGATCTTTCAAATTCCTTTGTCACTTCTTATTTGAGCTATGGCAATATATTTTCCCTTAGTCTCCCAGACCTCCAGTAGGCATGCAATATTTAGAATTATAGCCGAAACCGGTTTGGCTCAGTGGTAGAGCGTCGGTCTGCAGACTGAAACGTCCCGGGTTCGATTCCGGTCAAGGGCATGTACGTTGGCTGCGGGCACATTCCTGGTAGGGGATGTGCAGGAGGCGGCTGGTCGATATTTCTCTCTCATCAACGTTTCTGGCTCTCTATCTCTCTCCCTTCCTCTCTGTAAAAAATCAATAAAAATAAAAAAAAATATATATTTAGAATTACAATTATTCATAACAATGCAATAATTTCCTTTGAAAGTAATATGTAAACAGTAACAAAATACACTGAAGTATTTCCTGTAGTATATCCATTTAAAAAGAAGATTAATTTACTCAGTTTTTTTGGTTGCAAAAAAGCAACAAATTTTAAACAAATATAGCTATTGAATTCTTCCAGCTTTTTTTGTTAAATAAAACTGTGAAATGAAATGCAATCCATAAAACAAAACTACTTGATTGTTAAATGTCCATATCTCATCCATCAGATTTAAGAAACAGGAGATCGAAACTCACATCTAATTAATAACCGATGTTCTAAAAATACAGTTCAGTCTGTTGAATCCTCTGGACCTTAATATTAACTTATTGGTTTATAAACAAATGACAAAATACCCAGAAAATGAAGACTTTCTGTTTTGGAGATGTTCTTCTCTCAGTGAGTCATCCCTCGAGCTTTCATCATGTGATTTCTGGCTTGCATCTTCTGAGATACGTTGATAGTCAACACTGTGACTGGTTTCCAATGGATTTCGATGTGAATGTTTCTTCTCTCCTCCTCTCTCACCAGATCGACTCCATGATGATAAACTTTCTTCGCTTTCTGTCGGTTTTCGAAAACCACAACGCACAGAACCTTGAGTGGCCAGTGCTGAGGGTGAACTGGAAGATTCGACATTCCTCCCCATGTGATGAAATGGCAGTTCATCATCAGAGGGCCTGATGAACTTAGGTCTCAAATTCCCAAGAGCAGAAAACTCTTGACTTTGCCTTGAACTGGAGTCTCTTCTGTATGCTTCTGAAGACCCAGTTCTATTATTTTTTTCATCACCACAAAATTTATCTTTATCTTTTATAATATCTGTGGAACTATGTCTATCCCTTGAACTTTTATTATATTTTGTCAAGTCTGATTTTCTACTTTCTTCACTACTTAGTGCTTTATCTGAATACGTCGGCTTCCTCCAGCGTTCTCGTCTACAGTCCTCTCTTGCGGATGCAGTTTTTTCAGCTTCTTCTAATTTCGACTGAAATATTTCCATTGACTAAAAAGGAGAAAAAGTAAACAAGATAAATAAAATTTTAGGAAGTTCAATGATTTGTACCCCATAAATTTACTGGGCCATGATGACTGTTATTCAGCACAATAAAAGAAAAATCCAACAAAATCCACAATACATATATGGTCATCCTACCTGATGTGGGCTGAATTGTGTGTCTCCCAGCCCCTGACTAAAGTCACATGTTGAGTTCTAACCAGGAGTACCTCCGAATGTGACCACACTTGGAAACAGCCTTTAAAAAGATGACTAAGCCAAAACCGGTTTGGCTCAGTGGATAGAGCATCAGCCTGCGGACTGAAAGGTCCCAGGTTCGATTCCAGTCAGGGCATGTACATTGGTTGCGGGCACATCCCCAGTGGGGGTTGTGCAAGAGGCAGCTGATCGATGTTTCTCTCTCATCAATGTTTCTAACTCTCTATCCCTCTCCCTTCCTCTCTGTAAAAACTCAATAAAATATATTTTAAAAAACAAAACAAAAACAACATTAAAAAGATGACTAAGTAAAAATGAGGGAGCAAGAGCAGGGGTGGACTGGGAGAGGTCAATGGGGGAAAATGGGGACATAGGTAATACTTTCAACAATAAAGAATTTTTTTTTTAAAAGACTCATGCATTAAAAACGCTAATTCCTGAGTCTCAAAATTCACATAAAAAAGGATTCTTAAAAAAGACTAGATCAGAGGAAGGAAGGAGGAAGCATAGGCATGTAAACAGATGGGAGTACGTAAATAAGTAACACATTACCTACAAAGGAAAGTAAGATTGTTAACTTTTCATCTACAAATGCTATAAATAATGGATAAAGATAAATTTAAAAAATAATTATAAGGCAATAATTCTATGTGCAGGAATCAATTCACAAACTATCTTACCCTCATACTGACAAAAAAATAATAATTTCCAAAAACTGCCAAAAATATCAGAATGCAAATCACTTACTAATTCTGGGGGGTGGGCAGGAAAATACTCAGTTATGGTTTAGTAAGCTAAACCATAAGTGAATTAGGGTAAAAATCACTGCAAAAAAGAAGGCATGCTATAAACCAAATGGCAAATGTAACAAGTAAGTCTAAATAATTGTTCTTGAAATTGTGAGGTTTAATGCAATTGTCAAAAATAAGGTGCATATTTTAAAATTTATAACCAACTGGAATAAAAATTTCAAATTATTTCAATAACACTGGAGAGGCGAGATGGGAAACTAAAACATGCTGAAGTTATTACCTTGCATGAGGCAGAGATAATCCATAACATTTATTTTTTTGTTGTTATTTTTAAAATACAGATTTAACCTATTCCTTAAATTCAATGGCAACCTAAACAGAATATATATATTGGCAGTAAGGTGGGGGAAATGTTTTCATAATGAAAGTACCTTTTTGGCAGCTACAATTAGTGGCTTCTTAGAGTCAATAAAATATGATAAATAAAGACAACAAAACAGCAATTATCACAATTTATCCAACGCTTATTATATTACATTGTTTGCATAATTTAGTAGGCTCTAAGGTCAATATCTAAGTTCAAATCTGCGTATTGAACATGTAATCTTGGTTATTTAACCTGTGTCTGTCTTAGTTTCTCATAAAACAAGAATAATTATACTATTGTATTAAATAAGTGAATTACACACATAGTATTTTAACAATGCCTAGCATATGAAAGCACAAAGAAAATTATTAATGTTTCCAACAATTCTATGACAATGATAATAATAGTCATGTTTTTAAAATGGGGGGGGGGGGAGGGAATGATGTTAAGGTCGCAAAGCAATAAAGTAACAAACCTGATATTGAAATTTAGAACCAATGACTACAAAGCCAAAGTTTTTTATTATGTCAAAATGCCTCATTCTATGATTATTAACTGTTCTAAAGAATTAAGAAATTATATAAAATGTTACAATCCAATAATCATTATCCCTACTATCAAAACTTAATAAAAATAACATAAAAAGAAAACTAAAGGACATAAAGATATAAATTCACTAATTAAAGGAATTACCATGATCATACAGTAGAATGAAATCTTGCCATCTCTGATGGCATGGGTGAAAAGCAAAAATGGCTTCAACAGTTTATAAATTTAAACTTTAATACCAAGTCAATTCAAAAGTGTTTCATGGCATAAAACACTGGCAAAATTAAAGAACTTAATTTCCCACATAACTCTAAAAACACATATGTCTTAATATGAATACTCACCCCATATCTTTCAGCTACAATGTCTTCAAAATTTCTATTCTGTTTCTCAGCCTGTTCCTTCATTCTTTGGTAAGACTTCCTTAGCCAGCTCAATCCCCCATCTTCTATTACTGAAACTAAATTTCAATATTAAATGTCAGCTTTACTTTTCATGTAATATAACAGAATTAATATCATTTCTAAAATCACTTAAAAAATAAAATTAAACTTTTTGATATTTAATTAGTTTGAATATTAATTATTTTGATAATAAAAATCATTATGTGCACTTAAAATTTACCATATATTTGTGTGCCTACATATGTAAAGTACAGAGTTTGTGACTAAGAGGAAAAAAAATAAATAAAACTATCCTTAAAAAACTGCAATCTAAAAGATGAGAATAAAGGAATACAATAATAATAAAGATAATATTGACTGAATAATACAAAGAGAAATAAAGAATTGAAGAAAAATTAGAAAAGAGAAGGAGTATTTTTAAATGGAAAACAAGGAAAATTTTCACAAACCAGGCTAAAAAAAAAAGTTGGATTTCTTCAAACAGTTACGAATAGGCATGGAATTTCCAAAAATAAATAAGGAGCAAAGGTACAGACAGAGAGGGGGGGAAGTACCTCTAATATATCACAAAAACAAATATGGAAATTATTGATGATAATGCTTAAATGTATATTAAATCAGATTATTCTACATTACTAACAATTACCACTATGAAAATCTGAATCCCTTCAATGAACTTTATTAAGCTACTTATATTTCCTTCTATACACATCACACTTTGATACATATAAAGAAGAAATCTAGCCCAGCCAGCATGACTCAGTGGTTGAGCGTCAACCTATGAACCATGAGGTCATGGTTCAATTCCCAGTCATGGCACATGCTCAGGTTGTGGACTAGATCCCCAGGGGCATGCAGGAGGCAACCAATCAAAGATTCTCTCTCATCATTGATGTTTCTATCCCTTTCCTCCTCTCTTAACCTCACTGAAATCAATAAAAATATATATTAAAAAAAGAAATCTAATCAATTATTTAAGTCAAAATTCTGTTCCAGATTTTTCTTGTCCAAATATCGATTACTTTATATTGTCCCAGTTCTACAGCCAAATAAAATGCATACAACATTTACAAGACATGTACAAGAGTCATTAAGAATCTGCCATAATCTCTGCCTAAAAAATAACCCATATGTTTACCATTAAGTGGGTATATATTATAAATTATGATATCTTCTTTTAATCTTTATTGTTGAAAGCATTACAAATGTCCCCTTAAATTATGATATATTTCTAAAATAGATAATATATAGCAATAAGAATGAGTGACTACAACTATACAAACATGGATGGATCTAAAAATATGGACAAAGCAGCAGGAAACAAAAGAAGGCATAGTGTATGATTCCAGGAAAAACTGATTTTTGGTACTAAAAATCAGAATAGTAGTTACTCTTCTGGTAACAGCTGAGGGACTAGAATGATCACAAAAAGAGCTTTGGGGATGCTAATAATGTTCTATTTCTCAAACTGTGTGCTGATTACACAGATGCTTTCACTTTGTGAAAATGACCAGTCTGTATACTTAAGGGTTTAGTACTTTTCTGTAAGTGTTAAATGTCAATAAAAAAGTTACTTACAGAAAAAATAAATTTTCAACCCTCAAATTTGAGTTCATCATTCAAATCTAAGTTTATCTTTACTGTAGTAAGATAATGGGTCTTTCTTTACAGGTCTAAAATACTTTGTACTTTATCTTCTACAATTGAAACTTTGCAGCCTGGAGTGGAGCCAAGCCTTATGCTTGCTCCATGGTGGCAGTCATTTCTGTTGGGACTTATATATCTTCTATAATTGAAACTTTGTAGCCTTAAGTGGAGGCCTGGGCTAGCCAGGATGTGCAGAAAGCTTGGCTTCCTCCATTGCCGAGGGCAACCCTAGCCTTTTGCTCTTTCCAGCTCCATGGCTGCTGCTATTTCTGTTTGGATTTACGTATCTTCTATCACTGAAGCTTTGTAGCCTTGAGTGGAGGCCCAGGCCAGCAAGGGCAGGTGGAAAGCTTATCTTCCTCCGTTACCAGGGAAACCCATGCCTCCCTCCTGCTCTCTGTGGCTGTAGCCATCTTGGTTAGGTTTATGTGCATATTCACTCCTGATTGGCTTGTGGGCATGGCTGTGGGTATAGCAGAGTGATGGTTAATTTGCATATCACTCTTTTATTATATAGGATGAATCTGTGCTGCACTCCCCATTTCTCTTAGAAGATGGGATACTATTAAAATAGCAATAAACTGCCGAAGCCGGTTTGGCTCAGTGGTAGAACATCGGTCTGCAGACTGAAAGGTCCCAGGTTCGATTCCAGTCAAGGGCATGTACATTGCTTGCGGGCACATCCCCAGTAGGGGGTGCGCAAGAGGCAGCTGGTCGATGTTTCTCTCTCATCAACGTTTCTAGCTCTCTATCTCTCTTCCTTCGTCTCTGTAAAAAATCAATAAAATAGCAATAAACTAAAGATCAGGAGAACCTAGATTTTTAGTCTTGCTACTGCTATTAACTAGTTTAAAGACTGTAAGCAAGTCATTGACTTCTTTGGACCTTTGTTTCTTTATCTGTAATATAAAGGCAGCTGATTTAAACCACTTTTGACATTTCTTCCAACTCAAAAGATTCTAAAAGAGAATCAAAAAAAAAAAAAAAAAAAAGAGGGAGAAAATCTATAAGAACAGAAAATATCAGAAGAGTTTTATAAGCAAGTTTTTGTAAGCCAGTTTTCTACTAACTACATAGTAACAAGTATAGTCTTCTAATGAAGAATCTAGAGTAACTTAACTCTGGACTAGAAATCAGAAACCTGGGTTCTACTACTGCTCACAGAACTAGAAGTAAATTACTTGGTCACTTTAAGCTTTAGTTTCCTGAACTAAATAACATATACTTTGCTATCTTCACATGGTTGCTATGAAAATAAGCTGATATGTAAATGTGCCATGTAAACTTTAAAATGTACAGATATTCCCGTTACTAAAATATAATTTAAAGTAAATTGTATGGATACTGAAAGTTTACTTATTTTTCCACGTTAGGGCTCAATTCCCAGTAGGGAGTGTGCAGGAGGCACCCTTTCATCACTGATGTTTCTATCTCTTTTTCCCCTCTCCCTTCCTCGCTGAAATCAATAAAAAATGTTTAAAGAAATAGCCGAAACCGGTTTGGCTCAATGGATAGAGCGTCGGCTTGGGGACTGAAAGGTCCCAGGTTCGATTCCGGTCAAGGGCATGTACCTTGGTTGCGGGCACATCCCCAGTGAGGGGTGTGCAAGAGGCAGCTGATCGATGACTCTCTCTCATCGATGTTTCTATCTCTCTATCCCTCTCTCTTCCTCTCTGTAAAAAATCAATAAAATATATTTTTAAAACATAAAATAAAATAAAAAAAATAAAAAAAGAAATATGTTTTCCACTTAATTTTGTCCAAAAAAAGAAAAATAAAGATTAACGCATTATTAAAAATATGGCACCTCAATCATTACAAAAATATTGTTAATAAAATCTTCCCAGAATATTTAATCGTAAGGAAAAGTACTATTTGACATTGTCATTATTGAATATTTATTATATTCCAGATACCATGCTCACAGATTTTTCTCATTTAATCCTCACAATAACCATATGATAGGTACTTACACATGAGTAAAATGGATTCAGAGAGATCAGGAAATTTTCCCAAATTCATGAAACTAGTCAGTGGAAATACAAAGTTCTACTCCCAAGTTTGAGTCCTTATCTATAACAGCATGTGACCTGTACATACCTCAATACTAAACTTATAAACCTTTTGGTGCCTAACCATTTCACCTCTACCATTGGTCAAACAAAAAGACCACATGATCTGCATATGCAGTAAAATTAGCAGATCATTTCTTAAAAAATAATTTGAACTTTGGGATCTGAACCTCTGACAGACATAGTTTTTTGTCATCTTTCCTTTCTAAGTAAGTACAATATGGAAGAGAGAAGTGTTGAAAGCATGTTACAAAGGGGAGGGAAAAAAGACCCTTTAAAAGCTTTATGAGATAATCACTGACCAGCTGCCTCCCACACGCCCCACACTGGGGATCGAGCCCACTACCCAGACATGTGCCCTGACAAGGAATTGAACCGTGACCTCCTAGTAAATAGGTTGATGCTCAACCACCGATTCACACCAGCTGGGCTGAAATCACATCTTTAACCTGTTAACCGGGGAGTTCCCTTTTTAATGACACAACCTGTAACGGGCGCGTACTCTTTCACTAGGACGTGTCAGTACATCACGCCCAGAGGACGTAATTTCATATTATTTTTTTTTTATTTATACTTAATGAAAATAAATGAAATATATATATTTTTTCATTTATTTATATATATAAAGCACAAAAGAAAATACAAAATTACAAAAAAAAATAGAAAAGAATACCGACAAAAAAAATGGACACGTCGAATTAAAAAATTATAAATTTTACAAACAATGATAAAGATTACAAAAAATAGCCGAAACCGGTTTGGCTCAGTGGATAGAGCGTCGGCCTTCGGACCTAGAAGGTCCCGGGTTCGATTCCGGTCAAGGGCATGTACCTTGGTTGCCGGCACATCCCCCGTGGGGGGTGTGCAAGAGGCAGCTGATCGATGTTTCTCTCTCATCTCATCGATATTTCTAACTCTCTATCCCTCCCCTTTCCTTCCTCTCTGTAAAAAATCAATAAAATATTTTTAAAAAATTACAAAAAATATATACTGTCCCTCTCGGGGCACAACATATATTTCAAGGACGTATTCATACGTCCTACCCGTTCCCGATATTGTTTACGTTTGACGTATTTATAGGTCCCGCTCGGTTAACAGGTTAATATTTACACATTATTTCATGAAATGTAATACTTTTTATATTTTGTTATAAAATGTAGCAAACTAAAGCATTATTATTTCCTCAGAGAATCATACTTTGTATCAACCCAGGAACACTAAGTTATAAGAAATGCCTGTGTGGCTCTTACAAAAATATGCATACCTTTAGTAACTGATGACGTAGCAGAGTCTTCTGGTGGAAGACCTGTCCCACCGTCCTTCCAATATGGATTCAATTCTCTTTCCAGCAGCCTGGACTAAAACAAAACATTTTCAGAGGTCATCATTTAAAAATAATCTCACCATAAATAACATGTCTGAGACACAGCTGCAACCTTAGACAAATATTTAAGGAAATAATTTAATATTGCTATTTGTCCTTTCTCTATAATAGAAGTGTCAGAGATGAAAGAAAATTAGTAAAATGCATATGAAAACCTTCCTCCTATCAGAGACTGGGGCTCACCACGGGACCCAGAGTCAAGTCCCCACCCACCCACATACACCTCAAATCGCATGAGACCCAGACCTTGCCACTCCTGCCCTTCATTGAGCTAGATCCAGACCCGGCCAGTCCCACCCTTGTCAAGCCCTGCAGGCAGAAGGTGTAGCCCTAGGTCCCTACTGATTGCTCCTTATGGGAACTTGGCCTCAGCTGTGGGTGCAGACAACTTTGTGATGGAGTAATTAGTACCCTGTTTCCCCAAAAATAAGACAGTGTCTTATATTAATTTCTTCTCCCAAAGTTGTGCTAGGTCTTACTTTCAGGGGATGTCTTATCTTTCCATGCGCTAGGTCTTATTTTCAGAGGATGTCTTATTTTGGTATTTTTACCTTTTTATTAGATAGGATTTACCGCAAGTAAAGGTCAGGAATTGTTATACCTTCTTTTAAATTACTTTTACTGTTTCACTTCATTACTGCTGTGTATGTGCTCCAAGTGAGTGACGTAGGTGCTTATGTAGATGGGTTCCAACATACGATGAAAATCAAGTTATGTTGCACCATAGGAACAGATTTCCAACGTAACCTGAGGACTGCCTGTATTTATACAAGACTAGAGGCCTGGTGCACAAAATAGGTGCCTTGAGAGGGTAGGGAGTCCATCAGCCCAGCCTGTGCCCTCTCACAATTCTGGACTCCTCGGGGGATGTCTGCCTGCCGGCTTAGGTACAATTTCCCCCAGGGATCGGGCCTAAGCAGGCAGTTAGACATTCCTCTCGCAGTCCGGGATATCTCTCCCAGTCTGGGACCCCTCACTCCTGCTTGTCTGCCTGCTCGCTGCTACTTACTGCTCAGCTAACTGTTCCTTAGTGCCTTCATGGAGGCGGGAGAGGCTCCTGCCACCACCACTGTGCTCGCCAGCCACGAGCCCGGCTTCTGGCTGAGCGGCACTGCCCCTGTGGGAGTTCACTGACCACCAAGAGGCAGCTCTTGCATTAAGTGTTGGCCCCCTGATGGTCAGTGCACATCATAGCGACCAGTTGTTCTGCTGTTCAGTCAATTTGCATATTAGGGTTTTATTACATAGGATGGGTGCATACTGAAAGGGCTAAAGAGAATAAAACAGGACAGAGAAAAACTTCTTGTGCTTAACAGAATTCTTGTAGAAAGCTTGCAGTCTCGAGTACCCTATAGATCAGATAACCAGAAGACACCTGGTGGCGGGAGGAACAAAGGACCAGACCCTCATGTCAGTCTAACTGCCTGCCGCCATCAAGAGCTGATAAAAGTCTTCCACCTCCCTGCACTCCCTTGCTGACTCAGCCCGCTGCACCCAGGCGCCTGAAATAAAAGCTTTTTTGATACATTACAGCCTCGTGTCATAGGTGCATGATCCCAGCCCACTTCGTACCTTTCCTATACTTTATAACTTAGTAACTTCACTTTAAGATATTCACCATAGCAAAAATTTGCACACATATACATGAGGAAAAAATACACTGTTCATATGGAAAAATGCAATAATCAGTAAATAAATAATATAAGAATAAACTCTGTGTTTCAAGTATTCCCAACTACAAAACCTACTTTTGCCCCACCGTGTATCTAAGGACCTTCATTTAGCACTGTTTGTAGTAGTGAAAAACAGCAAACAATGTAAATGTATAGTTATCCAGAATAAATGGATATTTACAGTATGTCACAGTCAAGAAAGATTATACAGTGATTAAAATGAAATAGAAATAAAATATATCAACACAAATCCATCTCTAAAACACTCTCATGCTGCTGAAACCGGGTTAGCTCAGTGGATAGAGCATCGGTCTGCAGACTGAAAGGTCCCAGGTTCGATTCTGGTCAAGGGCATGTACATTGGTTGCGGACACATCCCCGGGTGGGGGATGTGCAGGAGGCAGCTGGTCGATGTATCTCTCTCATCAATGTTTCTAGCTCTCTATCCCTCTCCCTTTCTCTCTGTGAAAAATCAATAAAATATATTTTAAAAAAATAAAAATAAAACACTCTCATGCCTTCTAGTCAAGATGGCTCATTAAGCTGCCAATCATCACAACCTCCCTGCTCAGGACAAACAGAAAAGAGAAACAAAATATAAAACACACTTGAGTTCAGAACAAGATAGTTATGTGGCCTCGAAAAGAAGATAAATGCAAAGCAGTAAGCAAAACTGAAGTCACAAGTCCATGTGCAAGCAGAAACTGATAGTCCTCAGTTCAATTTACCTATACTAATAAAAGGGTAATATGTTAATTAGACCAGAAGACCTTCCAGGAAACCTTCTGACATCCTCCAGGACAAAGCCATGGTGGCAGGGCCGAGGCAAAGGCAGTTAGGGGTGATCAGGCCAGGAAGGGAGGGCAGTTGGGGATGAACAGGCCAGTGGGGGAGGGGAGAGTTGGGGGCAAGCAGGTGGGCAGAAGGGTGCGTGCAGTTGTGGGCAAGAAGGCCAGCAGGGGGGGACGTTGGGGGCAATCAGACCTTTTTGAGGGGGCAGTTGGGAGCGATCAGGCTGGCAAAGGGGGGCAGTTGGGGTGAGTAGGTTGACAGGCAGAGTGGTTAGGGGTGATCAAGCAGGGAGGCAGGTGAGCGATTGCAAGAGGATGTCCAACTGCTGGTTTAGGCCTGATCTAACATCCCCCACAGGATCCCAGATAAGAGATGGTGGAAGCCAAGCTGAGGGACACACCTCCTACTCTCCCCACCTCCTACTCTCTCCACCCCCATCTCCCCGTGTATGAATTTCGTGCACTGGGCCACTAGTATAAGATAAACACTAAAAGTGTTCCTGCTAAAACAGGAGAATGAAACTAGTATCACCACCAAAGCCAGGGCCTGGGGTGGGGTGATCTCCTGCTTGTAAAAGAAGACTGAAAAGTTGGTATGCATTTCATTAATGCTAGACAGGGTCTACAGGTACGCGCTACAGGTCTATAACCTACGCACAATGTGGGCATAAGAAGCCCAGAGGACACAGACGCAACCATGAGCATTGATTTTCAAACTTTTTTGTGAACTTTTACCCAGAGGGAGATTGTGTGTGTGTGCCGCATCTGTCTATCTCCAGAACTAAGGAAACAAAATGTACCTTTATTACTAGTACATGCAATACATACTGATACCTTATATTTTTAAATACTGACTGCAATAAATTAATTTCACCATACACGTTTTGAAAACCAAAAAAATTATATCCTCAAAATCAAGAAGAGAAATAAAATCAACATGCTTCACATCAAAGCTTCAGCTAAGGGCAATCATCGTAGGCTAGGGCTAAATGTTAAGAATATGATGATGAGCAAAAATCAACACACTCAAACTAATGTGCCGATATTTGATAACTGGCTAGTCTCGGTCACTAGTCTCAATGGTTTACTTCTGCACACAACCACCTGAATTCTTACCGAAGCAAAATAAACAAGTAATACAGATTATGATCTTCAGAACTAAACCAGGGATTTAAAGAGCAACAAGGTAAAATCATGCGGAAAAGAATAAGTCTTCTACAATATCAAAAGTACAAAAAATAAAAAAGCACCTATTGTCTACAGAGTTCTATACTAACTGCTAAGGAAGATACAATATAAACAAAACAGATTCTCAAAAATATTATAATCTCAGGAGGGAAATAGGATTAAGACTATTAAATTACAGAAAACTACAAGTATTATAAAAGAAAGGAGCAAATACAGTACTATGGAAATATAAAGTAAAAAGAAATTGATATCAGTCAAGAGAAATAGGAAGAATTTCATAGAGGCCTGGTGCACAAAATTCATGCATGGAAGAGGGGTCTCTCAGCCTGGCCTGCACCCTCTCCAATTTAGGACCCCTCGGGGGATATCCAACTGCTTCTTGCAATCTGGAACTGCTGGCTCCTAACCACTTGCCTGCCTGCCTGCGTGATCGCCCCTACCTACCTCTGCCTACCTGCCTGATCGTCCCTAATTGCTCCCTGTAGACCTAATCTCCCCTAACTGCCTCTACCTCTCCCTGCCCCCAGTGGTTACTTCTGCCAAGCACTTCAAGGCACTATTAACTCAAGAATACCTTAAAATAAATTATCACCCGAAAGGTTTCAGACCACACAGGTAGCACAGTTCAAGCCCTAAATCCTTGAGTCCAAGCCATAAATTAAACTCAATTATTACTCAACTAAATTGCCCAGATTTAAAAATCTAGTATATTTTTAAACTTACTTCCTACAGAAAATTTATTTTAAAATAACTTATAATTAACAGTTGTTTCCACTAATTTTTTTTAATATATATTTTATTGATTTTTTACAGAGAGGAAGAGAGAAGGATAGAGAGTTAGACATATCGATGAGAAAGAATCATCGATCAGCTGCCTCTTGCACACCCCCTACTGGGGATGTGCCTGCAACCCAGATACATGCCCTTGACCGGAATCGAACCTGGGACCCTTCAGTCCGCAGGCCAACGCTCTATTCACTGAGCCAAACCGGTTTCGGCTGTTCCCACTAATTTTTATAAAATACCACAAAAAATAATATTTTAAAGTAAAACTGCATTCGTATATATATTTTATTGGTTTATTGAGGGAAATTAAAACGTTAAAGTATTTTAAGTATCTTACCTGTTCAAGTGCTTGGGTTTTTGCTTGCTCTATTTTCTTTTTTGTTTCTTTTTCAGCTTTGAGTGATGATGACGACACAGTTTTAACAGACATAAAATCAACAGTCATCCACTCATCCCTCTGTATAAAAAAAGTCATTTTGATTTAAATTAATTAAAAGTTAATACTAAACACTTAGTAGAAAAGAGTAGGCTCTACAGCAGCAGCCCACAGGTTGAGAACCGCTAGCAGGGTCGCCTAAGACCATCGGAAAACACAGATATTTACATTACGATTCATAACAGTAGCAAAATTACAGTTATGAAGTAGCAATGAAAATAATTTTAAGGTTGGGGGTCACTACAACATGAGGAACTGTATTAAAGGGTCGCGGCATTAGGAAAGTTGAGAACCACTATTCTAGAGCAGTGGTCAGCAAATTCATTAGTCAACAGAGCCAAATATCAACAGTACGACTGAAATTTCTTTTGAGAGCCAAATTATTTTTTAAACTCAATCTTCTTCTAACACCACTTCTTCAAAATAGACTCGCCCAGGCCGTGGTATTTTGTGGAAGAGCCACACTCAAGGGGCCAAAGAACCGCAGGTGGCTCGCGAGTCACAGTTTGCTGACCAAGGATCTAGAGGAACTAGAACAGAGATAAGCACTTACTTTCTCACAGGAGGAGGGGGGTAGTATAAAGGCCCAGCAAACAGCATTACTGCCAAAAGTATTTATAAAAGTATATGTTTTCAAAGTCTAATTTTTCTACTTAATAAATTATAATCATCTTTCATTTAACATTAATCTATTCTTACAAGTTCATACTTCTTCGTTTAAAATAAGGTGGTTTACCTGAATACCTTGGTTGTCTTCTTTTTCTGACTTTTCACCTTTCAGTTTCCAGGCCTTTTCCTTGCCAGAAGTCTCGGGTGGAACAGCCTCAACCCACTCCTCTTCGGAGCTCTAAGAATATTTAGCATATAAGTAAATTTTCAAATTTGCATACTTTCATATGAAAATTGTGCTCTTAAATAGCAGAAGTTCAACTTCCTAAAGAAAATTCACATACTATAATTCCCCTCTAAACAATTACATTGAAAATATGAAGAACGTGTCAACTATTTAGGAATGTGCTCATGAAGCACCAATCAAATCACTTCTAAGTTCTTAGTAGTATATTAGCAAGCCAAAGAAAAGCCAGACAAGAGATCAGAATGCTCAACAGAGAACTCACTTTGACACAGAACTGCAGTTCCTACCCACATCAAGTGCTACTAACATCTTTGCTTAACTAGAACCAAGTAAACAACACCCAACTAAATGAGTTTGCCTCAAACTGTTGAGAGTTTTCTAGATGTTAAAAATGCACAGATCTCAGTTAACAGCTAGGCTGGAAAGCATTTTGCTTACTGAGTTTAAATAACAGATTATTAAATCAACAAAATGGCATTTAGTCAACATCAGCTATGTGCTCAACAGATTTTGGGTTTTGTTTTCAACAAATATATCCATCAACTCTTCTATGTTAAGTACCAGAATAGGTGTTTTTACATATGCCATCATGTTGACTCCTTAAAACAACCTGACATAAAATATTATTTTGGTTTTACAGATAAGAAATTAAATAACTTTCCCAGGTTACATGGCATCCAAATAGGAAAACCAGGATAGAAATGTAGGTCTGTTCGGCTCTAAAATCCATTCTTCGGAGCTGTACAACTCAATGTAGGAAAGATCCTAGAAATCACCCACTGCAAGCTGCTTGTTAGTACACAGAGGAGAAACTCTGAAGCCAATGAGGAAAAAGTGGGTTTTCTGAATGAAACCAATATTCCTTCATTCCACGAAGTTTCTAAAAACTACCTAACTAGAGAACAGAAAAAATGTCTTGTAAAAAGGTAAAATCCACATGGTGCAAACATATTTGTCTCTGGCATTTCAACTCCCAACAGTTTCCCAAAGCAGAGTAGAATTTCATTTATTCATTCATTCTTTTATGTATTATTTTCAACTTAGAGAAACCACAGAACTGCACACACACACACACACACACACACACACACACACAAAGTTACAATGTTTGAGGATAATCACTATAAATATATTTCTGGTCTACTCATATTTATATTGTCAAATCAATTTAGAAAGACCTGGTTCTTATCGTTTTGTGTTAGCCATTAAAAAGAGAGTTTAACATAAACAAATTGGAAGACAAAAATCACATAATCAAATCAATTAACACTGAAAAAGCATTCGACAAATTACAGCACCTGTTTTTCTTAAAAACTCAGCAAAGTTGGAATAGATGGATCATACCTCAACATAATAAAGGCCATATATGACAAACCTACAGTCAACATCACATTCAATGGACAAAAACTAAAACCAATTCCTCTAAGAACAGGAAAAAAACAGGGATGTCTGCTTTCATCACTCTTCTTCAACACAGTACTACTAGAAGTCGTAGCCACAGCGATCCGACAAGAAGAAAAATAAAAAGGCATCCAACTGGGAAAGAAAGAAGTAAAACTCTCACTAATCGCAGACAACATAATATTGTACATAAAAACCCTCAAGACTCCACCAAAAACCTGTTAGATTTAATAAATTAATTTGGCAACGTTAACAGGATACAAAATTAACACCCAGAAATCAATGGCATTTTTATATACCAACTAGATACCCGGTACACGAATTTCGTGCATGGGAGGGGTCCCTCAGCCCAAACTGCACCCTCTCCAATCCAGTACCCCTTGGAGGATGTCCAACCGCCTCTCAAAATCCAGGACTATTGGCTCTTAATCACTCACCTGCCTGCCTGCCTAGTCGCCCCTAACCCCTCAGCCTGCCTTCCTCATTGCCCCTAACCACCTCTGCCTGCCTGCCTGATCACTCCTCACTGCTCCCCTACTGGACTGATCGTCCCTAACTGCCTCTGCTTCGCCCCGCACCTGGGACCCAGGATTCCCTCCTCCGGCTAGTCCCAAGCACCCAGGACCTGAACTTCCCTACCTCTGGCCTGCCACAGGCACCCAGGACCCAGGCCAGCTTCACCCAGGCCAGCCACAACTGCAAACGACCAGGACCGCAGGATGACCAACTTGTCCCTCTCCTTGGCCACAGCCACAGGGGATGCTGGTGCTTGGGACCACAGGGTAGGCGGCTTGTCCCTCTCCTGGGCCTCAGGTGCAGGCGCAGCCACTGGTGCCCGGGACCGCAGGGCGGGTGGCTTGTTCCTCTCCCAGTCTGCAGCCTGGCTGGTTCCTATTCCTATCTCACAAGCTCATTTGTGCCTGGCTGGTCCCCATTCCTCTCTCCCCAGTGTTGTTATGGCATGAGGACATGATGAGCATTTGCATATTAGCTCTTTATTATATATTATACATAGAAAGATATACTGGCTACTTGATAAAACTATTCAGTTGTATTGCTCACTATGCAATGTATCATTCTCATGTAAGTGAGGCTTGGGTCTCACCCATCTTCCCTCCCCTATAGGCCCGGTCGCACCCAACTCCCCCCACCTGCAGGCCTGATCTCACCCCAAACTGCCCTTCCCTGCTGACCTGATCTTGCCCCCAACTGCCCTCACTTGCCAGCCATCTTGTGGCAACCATCTTATAGTGGCCATCTTGTGACGATGTGAGGGCAGACATCTTCTGGTGGCCATCTTGTGATGAAGTCGCATGACACCCTCGTGCGATGCCACCTAGGCTTTTATTATATAGGATATTTTACTTTAAAGACTTAAATATTAATTTCTATGAAAAAACAAATAGGGATAACAGACTCCCAAAGCCTCAGAACTCCTTTCCTTTACTTGTAACAGTACTCGTCTGCTTTTCCTAATTTTCCAACTGCTTCTACTTAGTGTCCTTTCTTGGCTCCTCAGTGCTGGTGTTCTTCTTTCTTTTCAGTTTCCCTAGGCAATTCCTTTTTCTAATGGCTTCAATAAGCAATGACTCCCAAATCTCATCTCCATCTTCTTACCTTTCTAGCTCCTGAATATTCCCAAGTACATGTTTCTCAGGCATTTTCATATCCTAACTAGTAGTATTTTTTTTTTGAGATCTCATATAGTTTAAGTTTTCATAAAATTTATTTTCTTAAAGAAAGTTTTCTCAAATAGATGCTTGATTAGTTTTAGCAAATACTTACTGATGAACTCTCAGATGACTCATTGTTCTTTTCATACTTCTGTTCCTTGCTCTTTTTTTTCTTCTCTTTCTTTACTTTTTTTGAATGCTTGTCTTTTTTCTTCTTTTTCTTCACAGAGTGTTCCTTTAAATAATCATTTTGAAAAAGTAAATAGGGAATTGAATTTTACCTTACCTTAAAAGGAAATATTTTAAGGGGGGGAAAAATCTGTTCTAAAATACTTTAAATTTTTCAGAAAATGAGACAAGAAACATGACAAAAATATTCAAAGAAACCTTAACAAACTTCTATAATATATGCAGTACTAATAAATCATAGAGCTGAGATATCAAAAATAAGTAAAGTTTTTGCCGAAACCGGTTTGGCTCAGTGGTAGAGCGTCGGTCTGCGGACTGAAAGGTCCCAGGTTCGATTCCGGTCAAGGGCCTGTACATTGGTTGTGGGCACATCCCCGGTAGGGGGTGTGCAAGAGGCAGCTGGTCGATATTTCTCTCTCATCGACGTTCTCTCCCTTCCTCTCTGTAAAAAAATCAATAAAATATATTAAAAAAAAATAAGTTTTAATTTATTTGCAGATTCATTTTACAGATATAATCAAATAAAAATATATATGCAAACATATCTATGTATGTATGCATAATGTATGCATATATCCTTCCATGGCCCCAAAGAACTTATAGATTACTAGGTCATTTAAAATATAACAAGATGGCATAAATTAAAATTATGTAAAAAGAAAAGTATTAAGATAAAAAAAATACACACACGATATTAAGTTTAAAATGCATCAGATTGCTAAAAGTGGGTCAGAAATTTGAACTAAGCTTTCTATCAGCCAATTCAAGTAACACAATATGTTCAATGTCATAATGTCCAAAATATTAAAATATATTATTTCTTCCAAAGATAAAACTATTCTGTAAAGCCTACTCTGTGATATTCATTCTGCAACTTTTGAAATAGTCTATAAAGCTGCTTCTCCAATATTAATTTGAGTAAATGCAAAAAAAATCAGACATGTAACAGGTTTACTCAAGTAAACCTGTTAGTATTCACCTGTGAGAAGTGTTCAATCCGCTCATTCACATCAGGTAGCATCCATGTGTCCTCACCCCGAAGTCGTTTAAGTTCTTTACGCCTTTCTTCCTTCTCAAAATTGGCTTTAGCCTAAAATAATGGGGGAAGGAGGAGGTAATTAACAGAATCAACTGCTTTTCATAAAAAAAATAAAACAAAATCTTCTCTCATTTTCATACACATTCTCATGAATCAACTGTCCCTTGCTTCTATCAAAGTGTAGGAAACATTTTAGTAAAAAACAAACAATAAAAACCCTCCCCTTCCACACTACCAATCAAATTACCAATTTCTAGTGAATTGAGCTACCAATCAAAGACAGAATCCTGAGACCTAGTCTAAATCCTCCCTTTCCTTAAGCTCCCAACCTAAAGTCTGGCTTGAATCTCTTTCCCCTTCACCATCCAAGTGCTACTGCCTGAGACTTCTGTCAGTGATGAGTGACTGACCTCCCAACTTCTATCTGCAATGCCCATAACCCTCTACCCACAACCCCAAAATACTTCAGGAAGGATCATCTTTCTAAAAACAAATGATCAGATTGCTAATTTTTATTCATCCTTCAACAACAGTCCAATAAAGTAAGTTCTTCCTCGGAGGTTGTTCCTGCCCCTCGATTCTCTCCCCAAATTCCAAAGCTGGGCCTGTCCTTCTCAATCTGTATGTATTTCTCTTATTATAAAATTTATCGGAGCTTACAAACAATACTCCTTCCAAAAACTGCCTGAAATACCAGAGACAAGGGTAAAAATAGTTTATTATTCATATATGTCACATATGCTCTAACCAAAGGACACTGACCTTTCACTTGTCCAAGATTAACCATCCTCTCTTCCCACCCTTTCTAATCTGCCTGTCCTTATGCCTTCTCCTTCTGTTTCCTCTACCTGCTCCTTCTCATCAGCACTTAAAGCCGCTTAAAATCTTCTATCGCCAACCAAATAAAAACCCTCCCTTGTACTCTATGATGATCTCCCCTTCATTGCCACATTTCTTGCCTCTTTTCAGATAAGTCAATACAATTTACTTCCTCCATTCTCTCCATCTTAATGAGAAATAGTATTCCTCCACCTTTTTTCCAGGAGCTAAATTTTCAGGGTCTCTGCTGTCAACCCTCGTTTGGATCAGTAAGGGTATACAATAAAGCCAGGAATTGATACCAATAGTAAGACAGCATGAAATGGTCAAACACAATGTACTCCAATGCGTCTTCTATGTGTTCCTGAAAAGTGAAATTTTCATTTCACAGCAGGAGCGAGGGCTGGGGCTGTGGAATACGCCGGGGAGACTCGTCTCCAGCAGCGGAGGCCCCGGAAAGTGCTGGGTACCAGAAATGTCAAGGAAGAGCCATCTAAAAGGTAAGGAAACCCAAGAGGACAGAAACAGGGTTTCCTGGAAAGAAAATGAGCAACGGGAGCCAGCAGGTGAGAGATGCCCAAAAGCTGGCGCGCATCCCACAGGGAGAACCCCTTCAGTCCAGATAGATGACACTGAGGCAGGGAGAGGGTTCGAGTGGGAGGAGGGCCAGGCCTCAGCTTCCAGAGACCGCCACTCCCTCAACTCTAAATGGTCCTAAAAGCCCCAAAACCGAAGTACCTGGCGCAACACCTCGGCCCTGGCGATCCGGGTCTGCTCCTTACGCTCTTCGATGCTCCTCGCACTTTCAAATCGACCTCCGGCAGCCGCCATCGTTGTTGACGTCGTAAAGTCAGGAAGCTGTCGCAAAGGCTCGGTTTACGGCTGTCGTAATGTAATAAACAAACAGGACTTCCTCCTGGGAAGGAACGGGCGTGCTCCCCCGAGGGAGCATGCGCGGGTGTGAGTGGCGCCGGCGCTTCCGCTTCCGGCGGGGACTCCCGCACGGGGTTTCCGGGGGACGGGAAGACTGCAGCGAGGAACTGCCCTCCTTCGCTTATTGGGGCCCCCCTGGCCAGGGTTAATGTCCCTGATCACGGACGATACCAACAGCATTCTGGCCTCGTTCCTCTTAAAATCACCGGAGTAAGGTAGAAACTCGCAGAGGTTAAGTCCGTTCATGTCCATAAAAGCGCCCTTCTCGCCAAAGGATTTCCCTGGCCTGAGGGAGCCTGGCCTGAAAGGTAGCTGGCCCGGCACAATTTGAAGATTCGGCATTTTGCTTTGGTGGTTTATCTGCCCCCCCCCAATCACCCCTCACACCCCCACACTCCCCACCTCCCACCCCCAACCCCCTATCAGCCACTCCCCACTCCCCCCACCCCGTATATGAAAAAGACATGTGAACTTTGCATTGCATTCCATAATTTATCGCTGCTTATTTAAACTAAGCCGTTATAAATTTTATACTTTTCTTCCTCTGACCTCATATCATTTGCTCACACTTATTTATCCAGCATTTGTCATTACAGTGGGCATTGCCTAGTTAGTATTTGTGGTTTTATGTTCCTGTCTCCCAAACTTTTAAGTTGCATTAAGAAGACATTCTGAAATATTGATCAGGGGCTTTGAGATTATATTTATAATCATAAAGGTAAAGGAAGCTGGAGAATAAATATAAAGTAGATACCTGAAAGATAATACAAATATAAAGATAATCCAGATTAGGTAAATAGACTTTTTTTTCCCCCTAGGTTTTGTAAAATTGAATTTGTGTTTACAAAGAAAAATACAAAACAAAACAAAACAAACTTTCTCAGGAATTTCTACTTCACTAATTTATGGCAATCTTAACCTTGAACATGTAATCTTTATTTGCTTGAAATATAAAATAGAAAGTACTTGTATCTTTGTTATAGAAAAGTGAGTTTTAATTTATTGATTGATCTTGGAATATTTAATCCACTAACTAGCTACATTGACTGATTTTTATCATAATTCAAATGATATTAAAAATCTTTTTCAGGTTTTTGGGGGGTTTCAGAAAAACATCTGTTCCCTCTTGTATCAGTTATTATAAGGCCAATAAAAATAAATGGCAATTATAGCACAACATACAAAAGTATATGACAAAAACTTTTAAATCCTACTCAAGGCAAAAAGACTAGAACAAATGAAACATATACAATGTGCTTGGAGAAAGCTTAACATCATAAAAGATCAATTGCTCATAAGTTAATTTCTAAATATAATGCAATACCAGTAAAAATATCAACAAAAAACGTTGGGTTCAGGGAGTGGAACTAGACAGGTTGACAAAAAAGGGGGGGGGGGGGGGGGACAGCAAGTTGTTTTGATTAGTTTGTGTGTGGCCACACCTGATAGAAATCCATGGTTTAATTAAAGGAGGGGTATTGTAATAAGGAGCCTGCAGGTAGCTGATTCAGGTTTGTTGCAGTTGCTGAAGGAATCGGATTGTTTCTTCTTTTCTTCTTTGTAGCATTCATCTGTGACTTAAGTCTTCATAGTCACAAGGAATGCACTGTGTGTTTCCACATTTATTCGTAGCATCTATAAAAAAAATCCACCCCCCCAAAAAAAAAAAAAATCCAACCAAAAAATGGGCAGAGGACCTAAATAGACACTTCTTGAAAGAGGACATAGAGAAGGCCAAGAGACATATGAAAACATTCTCAAAGTCACTAATGATCCGAGAGATGCAAATCAAAATGACAATAAGGTGGTACCATCTCACACCTGTCAGAATGGCTATCAACAAATCAACAAGCAATGAAGTACTGGTGAAGATGTGGAGGAAAAGGAACCCTCGTGCACTCCTGGTGGGAATACAGACTGGTGCAGCCACTGTTCACTCATATTCCAATAGTCAGCTGCCTTATGCATGCCCCACTCTGGGGATCGAGCCTGAAACACGGATATGTGCCCAGTCTGGGAATTAAACTGTGACTTTCTGGTTCATAGGTCGGCATTCAGCCACTGAGCCAGACCATCCGGGCCAGACATTATATTCTTTATGATCTGACACAATAGGAAGTACATAGTATCGGTGACATGGCATTTTTGCCAAAAACAAAAGACAAAAAATAAAACACAATGAATTCAATCTAATGTCTACATCTAACTAGTTTATTAGAAACATGGAATCTAGAGATCCATCTAGGTTAAGTAGCATCGTAAGAAAGGGATTGACTGAATCCAGAATTACACTAGACAAATAATACATCCTGGAAATCATAGCAAGATGCATGCCTCTTTCATAGGATACAAGAATATATTCATTGATGTATAGACTATTTTCCTCACCAAGAATAAATCCTAGTGGAGCAGGTATTTTAGTCTGCTTTTGCTTCAGTGCCTAAAACAGTATCTATCATAAATACATTTTTGTTGAAGGAATTTCAAAGCATGTGGTGGCTCTGACAGATAATCCCTGGGGTGATTAGAACTGCAGATAGTGGGGCAGAGTGAGGGAAGCTCCTAGGTCAGCGTTAAGGTTTCTGAAAGGGCTTCTCATTCCCAGTCATCCTAAGCTGAACCTTGGAACACCTCTAAGAGTTAGCAGGGCAAGAGATGGGATGGGAGGGGAACCTCTGGTAAGAGAGCACAGTGTGACTAACTGTGCAGAGGCATAAGAAAACATGGCACATCCAGTGGGAGGTGGGAGGACACGTGATCTGACTGCCCCTCCATCTAACAAGTTATCTAGGAGTGAATTAGACTGATCCCTTGTTCTGGTGTAGCAACCTTGGAGGTTTGGCATATTTCACAGATCTAAAACAAATAACTACAAAAATTTATATGGAACCCAAAAGACTATGAATAGCTGCAGCAATTTTGAGAAAAAAGAACAAACTTGGAGGGATCACAATACCAGATATCAAGTTATACTACAAAGCCACTGTAATCAAAACATCCTGGTACTGGCACAAAAACAGGCATATAGATCAATGGAAAAGAACAGAGAACCCAAAAATCGACCCAAGCCATTACGCTCAATTAATATTTGACAAAGGAGGCAAGAGCATACAATGGAGTCAAGACAATCTCTTTGTTTTTTTCTTATTTTTTTAAATTAAGGTATTATATATGTACATACCTTACCAATCCCCACCCACCCCCACTCCCATACATGCCCTCCCCTCCCCAGAGTTTTTTGTTTATTGGTTATGCTTATATGCATGCATACAAGTCCTTCAGTTGATCTGAAATAAGCCAGTCAATGAAAGAAAAACACCACACGATCTCACTCATTTATGGATAATAAGGAACATTATAAACTGATTAAAAGACAAATACAGAGACAGTAAAAGAAAGACTGTCAAATTACAGCGGGGAAGGTAGGGAGATATGGGGGAGATAAGAGATCAACCGAAAGGCAATCTCTTTAATAAATGGTGTTGGGAAAATTGGACAGATACATGTAAAAAAAATGAAGCAAGACTACCAACTTACTTCATATACAAGAATAAACTCAAAATGGATAAAAGACACATGTAAGATGTTAAACCATAAAAATCCTGAAAGAGCTCACAGGCAGCAAAATCTCAGACATTTCTCATAGCAATATGTTTACCATACATCTCCTAGGGCAGTAGTCGGCAAACTGTGGCTCACGAGCCGTGATTTGCAGCTTGTGAGCTGAGGTTTGCTGTTCTGTTGACTAATGAGTTTCCTGACCACTGATAGACTCTCAATTTTAATAATTACAAGCTGTTATTCTTTTTGGTTAAGCCCCTATTAGGGCAAGGGAAACTAAGGAGAAAATAAACAAATGGGATTGTATCAAAATAAAAAGCATCTGCACAGCAAAAGAAACCATCAAGAAAATGAAAAGGGAACCCACTGTATGGGAGAACGTATTTGGCAATAATACATATGATAAAAGGTTAATATCCTAAATGTATAGGAACTCATACAACTTAACAAAAGGAAAGCAAACCATCTAATTAAAAAGGGGCAAAGGACCTAAATAGACACTTCTCCAAAGAGGACATACAGATGTCCAAGAGATATGAAAAAATCCCCAAAGTCACTGATCATAAAAAAAGATGCAAATTAAAATTACAATGAGGTATACCTCACCCACGTCAGAATGGCTATAATCAACAAATGAACAAGTGACAAGTGCTGGAAAGGATGTGGAGAAAAGGGAACCCTAGTATACTGATGCTGGGAATGCAAACTGGTGCAGCCACTGTAGAAAACAGTATAGAACAAAAATTAAAAATGGAACTGCCATTTGACCCAGTGGTCACATTTCTGGGAATATGTCCTAAGAAACCTGAAATACCAATCAGAAAGAATGTCTTCACTCCTATGTTCATAGCAGCATAATTTACAATAGCTAAGTTCTGGAAACAGTCTAAGTGCCCACCAGTAGAAGAATAAATAAAGCTATGGTACATTTACACCATGGAATCCTATATAGCAGGAAAAACGATAGATCTCTTGCCCTTTGAGACAGCATAGAGGCACTGGTGAGTATCCTGCTAAGTGAAATAAGCCAGTCAGAGAAAGACAAGTATCCCATGATCTCACTCATACATGGAATCTAATGATCAGATTTAAACTGATGAACAAAATAGATCCAGAGACATAGAAGTATGGAACAGACTGATGATTCTCAGAGGAAAAGTGTGGGTGGGTGGATGGGTGGGTGGGAAAAGATCAGCCAAAGACCTTGGTATGTATATATGCATAACCCATGGAAACAGACAATAGGGTGGTGAAGGCCTGAGGCTGGCTAGAAGGAGTCCATGGTGGGGTGGGGGCGGGTGGTAACATATGTAATACTTTCAATAGTAGATTTTTTT